GAGATTTTCATCAAAGCACTCACAGGTCAGAGAGGTAAGCCCAGGGATTCAAATCAACTTTATGCAGTTGCTTTTCAAAACTCTTCCCCCTCCCTTTTCTTTTCAGTACTTTCCAGTTCCTTGGGGTCCCATTTTTTCTCCTCTGTTCAGAAACTGCCCACTGTCATGGTTATACTACTTTCAGAAACGAGTTGCTGGAGAAGAGAGGAAAAATTAGTATGAAGTTTAGTTGTGTCCTCTTGACACCATGGCTCCACCTAGAGGAAGGACCTCATCCCCCAGAGTTTTGATTCCTGGAGGCTCCTATTCTGGACCACTCTTGCTTCTGGGCCACCTTTGGTGTTGCTACCTCCACTGTGGAACCAAAGAAGGAGTAGAGGTAAATAAAAATCTTGGGGAATTCCTTTACTCTCTCTGAACTCAAGTGCTCTTTTCCATTCCTCAAGCCAAAACTACAAGGCTTCTCCTGCATCTCACTTCGTCTGCTAAGCAGTGTTCATCTCTGAGTTTCATGCCTTACTGAATTCAGGTTCAGGATCCTGAAGGGGAAAAAAGTAATGTTAAACTCTCAGCTGTTTTGGTGGTACTTCAAACTCTTGTTCTTCCCTGATCCATCTACTTAACATTTACTTCTCAATTTTCCTATAGGTGTCTGTGAATTCTAACAAGATTCTGTATTTGAGTTAGTGAGATATGAAAGAAGATTGGACCCAGCTGTATGTGTTTTGTAGACAGCATATAGTTAGATCTTGCTTTTCTATCCAATATGACAATCTCTGTTTTTAATTGGTGTGTTTAGGCAATTCACATTTAAAGTGATTATTGATAGAGTTGTATTAAAATCTACCATCTTGCTGTTTTCTATTCATTGTATTTGATCTTTGTTTCTTTTTACCCTCTTTTTCTGCCTTTTCTAATTTTATTTGACCTTTTTTATTTTTTATTTTTATTTTTTTAATTTTTATTGAATCAAAACTGATTATACATATTTTGGGGGTTCAACATTGAGATATGTTGATCAAATCAATATTAACAGCATGCATGTATATTGTTATAAATCATACTTATTCTTTATGCCCCATGTCCAATCTCACCCCATCTCCCTCCCCCTCCCCCCTCTAATTACCCTAGATTTCTTCTCTGTAATGGTTACTCTGTTGATTTGTTGCCTAGATGATCTGTCCAGTGCTGAGAGGTGTGATCAGGTTCCCCAATATTATCGTAGAGCAGAGGCTTCTTCTGTCACTCTGGAATGGGCTTTGTGGAGAGACACATCCTCTTTTCTTTATCTCTGCTGGTGACTCTCCTTGTGTCAATGCACTACAGTGGCTGGCGGGTCATCTGTGTGGTGGTTGTGGCGTCTAGCCACTTTCACAGCAGCCATGGTTATTGTGGTGGCTGTGACGGGCCCCCCACATGTAGGTGATGTTTTTGGCATGCTCCTTGGCGCTGGCAGTGTGCCTGGTTGTGGGGGGGTCCCGTCCCTGGCTCCATCCCTTGGGTCCCCAGGCAGGTCCCAAGGTGCTGGTGCAGTGTGCCTATTTGTAGGAGGGGGGTCCAGTCCCTGGCTCCATCCCTCAGGTCCCCAGGTGGGCTCTGAGGTGCTGGCGCAGTGTACGTGGCTGAGGGGAGGGAGTCCAGGCCCTGGCTCCATACCTCAGGTCCCCAGGTGGGCCCTGAGGTGCTGGCACAGTGTGCCTGGTTGTGGGAGTGGGGTCTGGTCCCTGGCTCCAAGCCTCACGTCCCTGGGCGGACCCAAGGTGCTGGCAGTGTGTCTGGGACAGAACTAAATTTTTTGTCCTTTGCTTACTTCTAAATTGGGTAACTTCCTGTTGGGACCAGTACCTGAGTTCTGTGGGTTAGCTAAATTGCTGCTTTGCTGCTTCTTCCCTAGGGAAGGCTTTTTGTGCAGCACAGGTTATAATGGTTGATTTTATGGGTACTTCCAGCACTCAGAGACTCGGTGCACCTGGGTTGTGTAGTAACTGTGATCTGGGCCTGAGTCTTTTCATTAAACTGCACCCCATGCAATTCTATATTCCTGACCAATTTCCTCTGAATGCTCCTATGCTGATTGGGGTGCAGATCAGCTGTCCTTGCTGTGCTCCAGTGTTCTCCTGATGGGCCCATCTCTCCCACCACCCGTGCTGCAAACACTTCCCGTGGGATGGGCCATGCACCAGTCCCTTGTGATGACTCACCAGCCTCTGAGTGGCTACATTTTTTCAGTTGTTCTGGCTCCTCACTCCTGTGCGGGTCCACGGGAACCCTATTAGTGGTCTTGCTGGCCTGGGGGCCACCAAGTCCTCTTCTCCCCTGCTGCCTCCAAGCAACTCCATCCAGAGGGCACAGTTGCGTCTTTTGCCAACTCCTACGCTGTGTGCTCAGCAGCTCCAGCCTTAAAGTGGCCATGGCATGAAATGGTCAGAGCAGTTTTTTCTTTCTCTCATCATGGCTTCTCCCACCTTCATGCACTCCATAGGTCTCTCATCCTCTTCCCCTGAGCTCTAGCAGCCCCAGTTTGGCTGTTGCTGCTTTTTTATATAGTTGTAAATTGATTTCTGGGAGAGAGTGATGCTGGGGACCATCTATTCTGCCATCTTGACCGGAACCTTATCTGATCATTTTTATGATCCCATTTTATCTCCTGTATTTATTTATAATTTATACACCTCTTTTTAAACTCTAGTTGTCCCCTGAGAGTTAATAATCTACATTTTTAGATAATTTAGGTTCACCTTAAAATAACACTATACTGCTTCACATGTAGTGCAAATACCTTGGAACAGAATATTCCCAATTTCTTCCTCCACTCCTTGTGTCATTGTTGTATTCCATTTCACTTTTATATATGTTACAAACACACAATACATTGTTATTATTATTACTTTAAGTGGTTATATTTTAGAACCATTAAGAATATGAAAAATAAAGTTATATTTTTGCCTTTATTTATTCCTATTCCAAAACTTTTTCTTTAATTATGTAGACCCAATTTTCTGACCTGTATTATATCCCTTCTGCCTAAAGAATTTCCTATGATATTTCTTATAAGGCAGGTCTGCTGGTGATGAATTTCCTCAGTCTGAGGAAAATTTTTGTTTGTCTAAAACTGTCTTTATTTTGCCTTTATTTTTGAAGAATATTTTTGATGAATTTAGAATTCTGGATTGACTTCCTTTTTCTTTCAACACTTTAAAGGTTTTATTTCACTATCTTCTTGCTTGTGTGGTTTCTGATAAGAAATCTAGTATAATTCTTCTCCTTGTCCCTCTGTAGGTGTGATGTTCCCCACCCACCTCCTCCTTCCTGGGTGCCTTCAAAATTTTTTTTGTCCTGATTTTGTGCAATTTGAATTTGACGTGTCTGGGTGTGTTTTTTTGTTTGTTTGTTTGATTTTAGTATTTACCCTGCTTGGTTTTTTCTGAGCTTCTTGGATCTATGGTTTGGTGTCAACTACTAATTTTAGAAAATTTTGGCCACTATGTCTTCAGATATTCCTTCCGCCCCATTTTCTCTTTCTTCCCCTTCTCATATTCTAAGTACACATATATTACCCTGTTTGATATTGTACCACAGTTCTTGAATGTTTTGTTCTGTTTTCTTTTTGTTACTCTTTTATTCTCTCTGCATTTTAGTTTGTGTAATTCTGTTGACCTATCTTCAGGTTCAGATTTCTCAGCTGTGTGGAGTCTACTGATGAGCACATTGAAGACATTCTTCAGATCTGTTACTGTGTTTTTTCTCGTGCATTTACAAATGAGTCTTTATTACACTTTCCATCCCCCTACTGAAATTACCTGATTTTGCATGATTGCCTTTTCCAATAGAGCCTTTAACATATAAATCATAGATATTTTAAATTCCCTGTCTGATAATTTGAACAACTGTTTCATAACTGAGTCTGGTCCTGATGATTGTTTTGTCTCTTCGGACTACTTTTTTCTTACCTTGATTCTTCCTTTTGTGGTGCTCCCTGGAGACAATCTATCTTTAACATCTCTTGTAGATGTATTTCACTGTTATTTTTACTGATGTTTTTTAGCCTGGTAGTGGGGAAGAGGGGACTAGGAACATTCTATGTATGATATTCTGATTAAGTCTCAGTTTTAAGGAGGCTTACCCTGAATGTTGGAGGTGTGACCTTCACAAGTGTTCCTGCCCCTCCTCCAAATGTAACGGTGGGCCTAGCACATTTTTCTGCCCCATCTGGGTTAGAACACTTTTTTCCCGTTTCTCCACCAGTACCCTCAGTTTCTGTTGCTGTTCCTTCTGCAGATTAAGGAGTTTTTTTTTTTTTGTTTTTTTTTTTCTCTCAGGTGAGATAGGGCAGATTGGTCTGGGCAGAGTTCCAGTGGTGTAGGCCATTCTGCTCTGTCAGCTGCAGTGAATTTCCACCAGTGTTCTCAAGCGACAGTTTTTGTTCTCTTTCCCCCTGAATAGGTTTCTGTTCCATAGGGAATATAGGGGAAATGGTCTGGGCAGGATTTCAGCAATGGATACTGTTCTGTTCCCCTCCTCAAGCCAGAACTACAGGAGACCTTTCTCAGGAATCTTCTCAGTATTCCCTGTCCGCTCCTGTTTGAATTCCTGAAGGAAAGCTCTGCAAAAATGTGGAAAACTGCCTATGTCTACAGCTTTACTGGTTTCACATTCTCACACTAGCCCATAACCAGCCTTTAGCAATTCATTAATAATTTTTAGTTGAATCTTCTTATGAGCTTATATGTTGTTCAGTGATATTTACACCAGGTAAGCAAATGCCTGGGTCCTGTTGCTTCCTGCAGATGCCTGTTTCTATAGGTTTAGGGCTAGCTGTTTGCACTGCAACCTCAGTTTTCCGAAGAGTTCAAGAGAAATCATTAACTTTCAGTTTTCCAGCTTTTTTTTCTTTTTGTAATGATGGGAGAGATGCTCTTTCCAACTCTACATCACTGAGCTGATACCAGAAGATCATATGAATCTGGGAATAAGATTTTGAGGATCTCTTTGTCTTCCAGCATCTATACCCCAGTTTACCAATTCCCCAACAATGGTGATCATGGTGGGTTTACCAGCTCGAGGCAAGACCTACATCTCCACAAAGCTCACACGCTATCTCAATTGGATAGGAACACCAACTAAAGGTATGTCTCTGAAACCCTTTGTTCTACAGCCTCCCATAGACCATTGGCTGAAAACAGAGTAAGGTAGCAAGCCAGAGCCCTCAGCACCAGAAATGCCTTATCACCACTATTATCAGGATTAGAACTACTACTACCAATATTATTATTACCACTATTGCTATGATTACTACTACTACTACTAACATTACTACTATTACTGCTACCAGCACCACTACCACTACATGCTTATAAATTTTACATTTTCTTGAGCCCAACTCCACCTGTGAGTAACATACTATTTTTATTACCATCATCATTATTGCCACATTAATATTACTACTTTTATTAGCATTATCATTTCTTCACCAGTTCACAATTGAGGAAATTAAGGCCCAAGAAGGGAAGTGCCTTATCTAAAGGCACATTGCCATTAAGTGACAGAATGAGGATATGAACCCAAGTCTCTTTGATTCTGAGCTTGACACTCGCTGTGCCAGGTTTAAAACATGGCTCTACTGATGGGAAGAAAAGAGAGTTCCACATTAACCCTGTACTCTCCTGTTCTTCATTCTCTTCCTCTCCTTTCTCTTGCCCATCCCAACATTCTATCTGTCCCCTTCCCTTCATTCATTCTTCCCTCCTTTCCTCCCTCTCTTCAAGTCTTCCCCTCTCTTTCTCCCGTTTCTTCCTTCCCTTCATCTACTTTATCTAATTCACTGGTGAAGAGTTTTCCAATGCTTTTCCATTTGCCAAAATCCATGCTAGGCATTGGGGATGCAAAACTGGATGAAACTCATGTCCTGTCCTTGAAGAGTTCTGAACCTGTCTGGGATGCTTAAGAATACCTATTGTCACCTAGGAATTCTAGATCAAGGTGCTGAGGGGCTCACAGAGAGAATCACCATCTGGAAGGCAGTGAAAGCTTCCCAGATTGGGTATATTTGAACTTGGTCCTAGGGGAGGAGTAGGACATTGGCAGAAAGGAAAGAGAGAAGGAGCAGCTTTCATGGATGACTGTAAGCTCTGAGGAGCCTCTGCTGAGTGTAGGGGCCCATGGGTGTGTCTATGCTTTGTTCTCTCTGCTTCCTGTCTGCTCTGCTCCTTTACACTTGAGTCTCACAGAGGCCTCCAGAGTCATATTTCAAAGCACTAAGGTGACCGTGCCTCCAAGTGTCCCCTTGGCTTTCAAGTTTAAATCCAAGCTCCTTAGCCTGTCACTCAAGGCCCTCTGCAATTGATCCCCTTCTAGCCTCTCAGACCTCAGCCATAATAGATGACTCACCATCCCCAAACATGCTCTGCCTTCTGCCAATGCCATACCTTTGCTCAAGCTGTTCCTGTACCTGGAATGCCTTTGTTCCCCACTCCTACTCCCCATACCTGCCTGTGAAAGGCACCTACATTATCAGCACCACACTCTCCCGAGTGAGCCACAGGCCAGCCCAAAAGGCACCTACCTTAAAAGACCTGGTTCAAATGCCGCCTTCTCCAGGAAACCTCCTCAGATCACCCAAAGTAGAATTAGTCTTTCTTTCCCCCTCACTCTTTTGCATGGCTCCATATTATCTCTATTGGAGCACTTAAACAAGGTGGAAGTTCTCTGTTTACTTGTTTACTCACTGTCCTGCCTGCTAGATTGTAAGCTCCTTGAAAGCCACACCAAGAAAATCTGGTTAATCTCTGAGACCCAGAACTCATAGCCTGCTTTACAAAATAGGCATCAAAAAGTATTTGTTGGATGAATGAATGAAATATTACCTCCTTGGCTGCTTATACCCTTTCTCCTCCTCTCCTTCTCTTCTCTCTGGTTTTTCATCATTAGAAGTGGGAAAGTATGGCCTAAAGACTTAGATTTAGATTCTCCCTCATGACACAGAAAAATGAAATAACATTGGACTAGGAGTCAGGAGACCTAGTATATATCTGACACCAGCTCACTCACTGTTTGACCCTTGGTAATTGGTTTTATTCCCTGGATCTGTTTCATTGTCTTTCTAGTAGAGTAAGGCATTTGAAGGGTTGGAGTTTATGATAAAGTAGAATAGTGGAAAGACCACCAGCTTTGGAGCCAAACAGACCTGTGTTTGAATCCCAGATCCCTATTTAATAATTGTGAAAGTTATTTCCTCTCTCTGAACTTCAATTTCCTCATTCGTAAAATAGGAACGGTGATTCCCTACCTTGCAGGATTGTGTAAGGGATAAATGAGCTGGTAGCTGTAATTTGAAGCTTTATAAGCAAATTTTATAGCTACAAATTATACTTCTTCTACCTCTGAGGTCCCTCCCAGAAAGGACATTTATTAGCCACTGGTATCTTCCCAACCTCTTCACTGGGGCTCCCTGCTTTCAGTGTTTAATTTAGGCCAGTATCGACGAGAGGCAGTAAGCTACAAGAACTATGAATTCTTTCGCCCGGACAACATGGAAGCCCTACTTATCAGGAAGTAAGTACTCAACATTTTAGGGACCTGTGCTGCCCTCTGGAAGAGAGAAACCTTTGTTCAGATATTGGGAGAGTGAGGCAGAGCAACCTGGGCCAAGGAAGAGATTCTCTAGATTCTCAAATGGTGGTTGGGATGACCTTCCCCCATCCTGCCCAAAACCTGTTTCTAATCATAACTATCACCTGCTCAAAAACCTTTAACAGTCTCCTACTTCTGACAGGAGAGAACAGAAAATTCTCAGTCTAGCATGAAACAAGAGTCTCAGTAGCTTGGCCCACTCTAGTCTCTCCGGTCTCATCAATTCAACCTCTAGGTCTCTTTCCTCTATAAGACTCTGAGCACTTCCAGAACAGAGCCTGGGTCTCATTTATTGATCCCTGCCCTCATCATAGAACAAAGCAATGAGTAATAACGAAAGATATTTTTGCTGCAAGCATAAATACATTGCCGCCGTCATGCCTATGCTTGCAGTGTTACCCATGCCAGGAATTCCTTTTACTTCACAGACCACATACTCAGGCTCTACCTAGTTTCATAAACTAGTTCAGCTTGAGCTCCATTAGCTCAAGAGTTGGAGCCCTTAATATTATGGTTCCGTCACTACTCAGCCTTTCCTGGATATGTCACTTTATACCTGCCACTAAACTGTACGTACAGAGCCGCATTCAACTGTATGACCCCTTTGTGCTTAGCATGGTGCCTAAAGCATACAGCACCCCATGTAGATGTTTAATAGATGAATAATTTAGTGTAAGATATATGAGATATGGTATAGAGGATAATGTAGAAAAAGAGAGAGAATCCAGTCCTGGGGAATAGGGGTCGTCCCTGTTTCTTTCTCTATCTTTTTCAGGCAGTGTGCCCTGGCAGCCCTGAAGGATGTTCATAACTATCTCAGCCATGAGGAAGGTCATGTTGCGGTAAAACTAATTCACCCACATACACACACACACACACAAAAAAAAAAAAAAAAAAAAAAAAAAACCGGAGGGGGGTGGGGTGGGGAAGAAGATATAACAACTATACTTCCATGAAGTTGTTACAACAAGCAAACGGAAAGGACATTCTTGGGGGGGAGGGGAGAGAGGGAGGAGGGAGGGAGGTGTCGGTGACGGGCCATAATAATCATATACAGTGTATATTGACAAAAAAAAAAAAAAAAAAACCCGGAGGGGGGTGGGGTGGGGAAGAAGATATAACAACTATACTTCCATGAAGTTGTTACAACAAGCAAACGGAAAGGACATTCTTGGGGGGGAGGGGAGAGAGGGAGGAGGGAGGGAGGTGTCGGTGACGGGCCATAATAATCATATACAGTGTATATTGACAAAAAAAAAAAAAAAAAAACCCGGAGGGGGGTGGGGTGGGGAAGAAGATATAACAACTATACTTCCATGAAGTTGTTACAACAAGCAAACGGAAAGGACATTCTTGGGGGGGAGGGGAGAGAGGGAGGAGGGAGGGAGGTGTCGGTGACGGGCCATAATAATCATATACAGTGTATATTGACAAAAAAAAAAAAAAAAAAAAAAAAAGAAATTTCCATTTTTTTTCCTCAGGTATCCACAGAGATAGAGAACAGCTAATATATGCTGAGCATTTAATATGTGCCATACATTATTCTAAGTACTTTGCATATGTTAATAATTTAATTTCATGCTCCCCCCATGAGATAGGTATTGCTATTAAACACCAGCTTAGAGCTCACAAGAATGGCTCACAGATTAAATTTCCCAAGGTGGCACAATGTGTACATGGTAGAACAGTACCTGAAATCCAGGATGTGTAGCTCCAGAATCTCTACTCTTCACTGCTGTACTCTACCAGTTCACCCCCAAGAATTCAGCAGGAATATGATAAAATTTAAGACTACAGTACAAACATTTCTGAGTTCTGAAGATTTACCTAAATATCTGCAGAGGGTCTCTGACTTACGGTGGTTCAGTTTACAATTACTTTTACTTTATTATGATGTGACATTCAGTACTTTCCTCCACTCATGATAGGGTTACATGCAGATAAACCCATCTTAAGTGGAAAATATGGTAAGTTGAAATCACACTTTTGACTTACAATATTTTCCACTTACAATAGGTTTATTGGGACATAACCCTATAGTAAGTTGAGGAAAATCTGTAGTCAATTTAGTCCCATAGGCCCATGGGATAGGATTTGAATATTTTAAAAGGGGAAGAGATCCTCAAATAGCAGTGGTCCAATATAAGGTGCTGGGGATAGGGAGCTGTCTCCTGTTCTTGAGGACTTCTAAGGTGATGAGGAAAAAAGAAGCCTCACCTACTTGTTGAAAGAATCACTTCTAGCTCTGCTCTGTCAGCAGCTCTCAATGACTTTAATCAAGGCAAGTCCTTCTTTTATGCCTTTTATTTCACCTGTAAAATGGCCCTAATAAAAAATCCCACAATTTTCTTCTTGCTTTCTTATGCTCATAGGGTTTGGTACCTTTCTAGAAAGATGATAAGGGCTCAATGAGTGCTTGTGAGGTTAACATAAGCCAATTCCAAATCCTTCCTATCCTTCAAGATCCTTTTTAAGTTCTACCCCTTCTGGAAGCCCTCAACTTAGCACAGGGCTGGATAAAGAGTAAGTGTTCTATCAACACCAGACTTAGAGTAAGCCAATCTCATTACCTTCCTCTAGGTTTTTGATGCCACCAACACTACAAGAGAACGACGGTCCCTGATTCTGCAGTTTGCTAAAGAACATGGTTACAAGGTACAGCAATACTCCCACTCTTATCTAAAGTTTAATTATCCAGCACAAACCCCAAAGAAAGGCAAACCAGGGGATTCAGAGCAGCCAAATTTGAAATATACCATAGGCTCAGTGCTTTAATTTGGTCATCAGGCTTTCCAGGATACAGTCAGAAGCAGCAATAGGCAATGGGTGATGATTGCTGACAGGCTGACACCACGGCAGGGGGTGGGGGTGGGGTGACGATGAGCAAGGAGTGGAGAGAACCACTACAAAAATCTTATGTAAAAACTAAAAACCAGTAAAAACACAAAACAACAATCTTTGGCCATTCAACTTAGAGCCAATATGCCTCATAAAACTCAGAAGCCTGAAAACACCACTGTATGAGAGCATTAAGTTGTCAGAGATGCCCCTTGGGATGATTCAGAGCCATTGAGAAGGGTCAAGCTATGCTTGACTCCTACCAAACATAATTCCCTGATGGAAATCACTTTTCTATTTATCTTATAGGTCTTTTTCATCGAGTCCATTTGTAATGATCCTGGCATCATTGCAGAAAACATCAGGGTAAGGACCACCAGTTACCTTTCCTCTTCACTCTGCCATAGGCTTGGATCATACCTAAAAAGACCTCTATGATATTAAAGGAGGTATTATTCCCCAAGCTTCTCCTCCCATATCATATAGAAAGCATTCCATGACCATCCTGAACCACAATGAACCTATGAAATTAAATGAAGCCAACATATATAGAGCGTTTAGTATGTACCAGGCACCAAACTTGACTCTGATTAATTTTTTACAACAAGGCTGTATGTTAGGGATCATTTCCTAAGGATCATTTCCATGTTGGAAGTGAAGTTCAAAGAGGAGAAATGAGTGGTCAAAGATTCATACATCCAGAAAGAGATAGAAGTGGGACTGAACGTCAGACTTGGCTGTCTGCCTTGAAAGCCCGTGCTCTTTATTCTTCCCCACAATTTGTATCAGAACTATCACTGCTTTTAGATCCTAGGCATGTGGATTAGAACTAGATCATTCACCACATATTGTTGTCCCCTATTTCATCAAATTATTGGAGCTCAGTGACAGAAGAGACCTTAAAGATCATCTTCTTCAACCCTCCATCAGATACTTGAAATGTCAGCTAAATGTTTATGTAGGTTTTTTTCATACCTGCAATGACAAGAGGCTCATTGCCTTCAACAAATTGAGCTTAATCAAGCTGAAATCTGCCTCCCTGTAATTTCCACTCATTGGTCCTATTTTTACCTCTTGGGACATAAAACATATCCAATTCCTCTCTTCCCTCTCCATTCACTCATCTGTCCATCCATTTTTTAAATCTATTGTAACATAGTTGATTGTACATTTCTGTGGGGTGCAGAGTTGAATATCATTACCTGTGTGTGTCCATTTATTGGGTCCACAGAAATTGACTGTATGCCTGGGCTGAACTATTCTTGGCATTTGAAAGAAATTTGTAAAGGAGAGTCCTTCCCTTGAGCTCAGAGTCTAGTGAGGGAGACTGACAAGTATATAGACAGAATTCTGAGATCAGTGCTGAGATGAGAACAGAAGAGGCTGTGAGAGCACAGTGGCAAGTACCTAACCTTGCATGAGGAGGAGGGGGGAGGAGTGATATCAGGGAAGGCTTCCCAATGGAGGTAATAGTCAAAATGCATCTTGAAGAATGCATAGGAATTTGGCAGGTGAAGATTGGGAAATAAGAGAATAACATATACTAAGTACAGCATCTCCAGGAATAATAAACAGCTTAGATTGTGTAAAGCAAAGTGTGTGGATGAATAGAGAAGCAGTGGCTGATGAGAATAAAGAGATAACTTTGTCCTAAAAGATATGAGGAAATGGTGAAGGGCTTTAAGCAGGAGAATGCTGTGATCGGATGTGCATGTTAGAAATATCTTTCTTCCATGGGTAGCCCCCCACCCAACAGAAAGCCAGAGCTTGCCTGGGGACCTCTCCAAGAGCCAAGGGCAGCCCCCTTCTGACAGAAGACAAGAGCATGCCTGAGTTTTCAGTCCCCACCACTGCTGCAAAAACCACTTCCACATGGGTGGTACACAACAGCCACAGAAGTGGCCACTGCCTCTGAAAAGGCAGCTCACTACCACAGCAGCAACCATGGCCACATGCAGATGTCCTGCCGTTAACACAAGGAGCATCACAAGCAGAGTCCAGAAAAATAGGAGGAAGTATCTCTCCTCAAATCCCACTCCAGAGTAATAGAAAAGCAACTGTTGTTCCAGATGACCAGACGTCACATCAATGAAGGGATACTGGAAATATGAAAAAAAGAATAAAAAAGAAAAAGAAAATATGACAGCACTGAAACAATATAGTAATTCTCAAATACCAGATCCCATAGATCAAGAAAACTTCAAAATGAGTAAAAAGGAATTCTGAACAGCAATCTTAAGGAAACTCAATGAGATACAAGAAGACTCAGTTAGAAAACACACTGAAATGAGAAAAAGTATCTAGGATATGAAGGAGGAAATTTAGAAAGAGACTAAAACTTTAAGAATGTAGCAGAACTCTTGGAAATGAAGGATTCATTCAATGAAATAAAAAACACAATTGAGGGCTTAAGCAGCAGGTTAGAGTAAGCAGAAGAAAGAAGAAAGAATTTCTGATCTTGAAGACAGTCTTTTTGAAATATTCCAGGGGGACCAAAAAAAAGAAGAAAATGATGAAAACCTAAGAGAGCTTTCAAACAACCTTAAGTAAACAAACATCTGAATCATGGGTGTTCCAGAAGGTGAGGAGGAAGAAAAAGGCATTGAAAATCTATTCAATGAAATAATAACAGAAAAATTCCCAGGTACAGGGAGAGACAGGACCTTCAGATTCGGGAGGCTCAAAGGTCCCCAAACAGATTCAATACAAAAAGTCCTGCCTAAGACACATTATAGTCAAACAGGCAAAGCTCAAAGACAAAGACAGACTATTAAAAACAACAAGAGAAAAGTGCCAAGTCACCTATAAGGGAGTCCCCATCAGACTCACAGCAGACTTCTCAACAGAAACTCTACAGGCCAGAAGAGAATGGAATGATAATTCAAAACACTAAAAGAAAAAAACCCTGCTAGCCAGGAATACTATACCCAGCAAGGCTATCCTTCAGAAATGACAGATAAATAGTGTATTTCCCAGACAAACAAAACCTGTGGAAGTTCACAACCACATGACCAGCCCTACAAGAAATCCTCAAAGAGTCCTACATCTGGAATCTAAAAAATGATAATCACTATGGCAAATACACGAGAAAGAACAAAACCCACTAGTAGAACAAAATTGCAAAAAGAAAGAGAAAGAAACTAAATCTTACCACCTCAAAAAACTGCATCAAAGACAAACAATAAAAGGGGGAAAAGGAGCAAAAGATATTTAAGACATCCAAAGGAAAATCAACAAAATGTCAGGGGGTAAGACTATAAAATGTAAATAGATTATACTCCCCATGCAAAAGACACAGACTGATTGAATCAAAAAGCTAGACCCAACTAAATTGTCTTTAAAAGACTCACCTCACTGGTACAAACACATACAGAGTAATAGCAATGGGATGGGAAAACATATATCATGCAAATGGAAACCAAAAATGAGCAGGAGTAGATTCTTTTATCAGATAAAATAGGCTTTAAATGGAAAACCATAAAAAGAGACAAATAAGGCCACTGTGTAATGATAAAGGGATCTATCCAGCAAGAAGACATGACAATCATACATATATATACACCCAACACCAGAGCACCCAGATATATATTACAAACACTCTTAGACCTAAAGAAAGAGATAAACCCCAATTCAATAGTAGTAGGGAACCTGAACATCCCTCTCTCAACACTGGACAGATCATCTAGGCAACAAATCAACAGAGAAACACGGAATTTAAACTAACTTTAGATATCTGGCAGATATCTACAGAACATTTCATCCAACAACTACAGAATATACATTCTTCTCATCAGCATGTGGAACATTCTTCAGGACAGACAACATATTAGGTCACAAATCAAGTCTCAACAAATTTTTTAAAATTTAAATCATTTCAAGTATCTTTATAGACCAAAACAGATTAAAACTACAAATCAATAACAAGCAAACTCTGGAAATTCTACATACACATGGAAAGTAAACAGCATCTCTTGAACAACTTATGGTCCAAGAAGAAATCAAACAGGACATCAAAAAATTTCTCAAAATTAATGAAAATAAAGACATATCATACCAAAACCAGTGGGATACTACAGAAGCAGTACTAATGGGGAACTTTATTGCAGTAAACACTTACACCAAAAGAATAGAAAGATTTCAATAAACAACCTAATGTACACCTCAAAGAACTAGAAAAGCAAGAACATTTCAATTCCAGAATTAGTAGACAGAAAAAATAATTAACATCATAGCAAGACTAAATGAAATAGAGACCCCCAAAATAATACAAAAGATCAATGAAACAAGATGGTGGTTTTCTTAGAAGATAAACAAAATAGACAAACCATTGGCTAGGCTAACTAAAAAAAAGAAGAGAGAAGATCCAGATAAAAATCAAAAATGAAAAAGGAGACATTATAAGCAATACCACAGAAATATGAAGAATCATTAGAGATGATTATATATGACTATATGCCTAGAAATTTGAAAACCTGGAGGAAATAGATAAATTTCTGGACACATGCAGACTACCAAGACTAAACCAAGAAGGAATACAAAATCTGAACAGACCAACAACAGGCAACAAGATTGAAGAAGTAATCACCAGTCTCCCAACAAAGAAAATCCCAGGACTGGATGGCTTTACTGCTGAATTCTACCAAATCTTTAAAGAGGAATTAATACCAATTCTCTTCAAACTATTACAAAAAATTGAAACAGAGGCCATTCTCCCAAACTCATTCTATGAGACCAGTTTCACCCTCATACCAAAACCAAAGATACAACAAAAAAGAAAACTACAGGTAAATAGACATACATACACACAGAAATCCTCAACAAAAGTTTAGCAATCAGAATATAGAAACACATCACAAAAATTATACACCACATTCCAGTGGGATGCACCCCAGGGATGCAAGGTTGGCTCAACATATGAAAGTCAATAAATGTGATACACCATATCAACAAAATCAAGGACAAAAACCATACAGTTACCTCAATAGATGCAGAAAAAGCATTTGGCAAAATTCAATATCTCTTTATGATAACCACTCTCAGCAAATTAGGTATAGAAGGAAAGTATCTCAACACAGTAAAAGACATATATTACAAACTCACCACCAATGTCATCCTGAACATGGAAAAGCTGAAAGCTTTTTCCTTGGAACAGGAATAAGACAAGGATGCCTACTCTCACCACTCCTATTTAACAGGGTATTGGAAGTACTAACCAAAGCAATCAAGCAAGAGAATGAAATAAAAGGCATCCAGATTGGAAAGGATGAAGTCAAACTGTCCCTATTTGCAGATGACATGATCCTGTATATAGAAAACCCTAAAGACTCTGCAGAATAACTCTCAGAGCTGATAAAGGATTTTGGTAAAGTTGCAGGACAGAAAATCAACATGTGAAAATCAGTAGCTTGTTTATACTCCAAAAATGAACTTACAGTAAAATGAATTAAGAAAGCAAGCCTATTTTCAACAGTGACCAAAAAAGTAAAATACCTAGAAGTCAATTTAACCAAGGAGGTCAAAGATCTCCACAAGAAAACTACAAATAACTGTTGAAAGAAATTTAAAAGGACACAAAAATATGGAAAGACATGCTCTTGGATTGGAAGAATTAACATTCTGAAAATATCCATAGTACCTAAAGAGATCTACAAATTCTTTGCAATCTCCATCAAAATACCAAAATGACATTCTTCACAGAAGTAGAAAAAAACAATCCTAACATTCATATGGAGCAACGAAAGACCCTGAATAGCCAAAACAATGTTGAGCAAAAATAAATAAATAAATAAATAAAGCTAGAGGCATAAAAATTGGACATCAAATTATACTACAAAGCTATAATAACCAAAACAACATGGTACCAGCATAAAAGTAGACACTTATACTGATGGAACAGAGTAGGGAACCCAGAAATCAACCCACATACTGACAGCCAACTGATCTTTGACAAAGACAACGAGAGCATACATTGAGGAAAAGACTGCTTCTAGAATAAATGGTGCCAGGAAAACTGGACTTCCATATGTACAGGAGTGAAACTAGACCCATACCTCTCACCATATACCAAAATCATCTCAAAATGGATTAAAGAGTTAAACATAAGACATGAAACTATATAACTACTAAAAGAAAACATAAGGGAAATGTAAGTAGGACTTTATGAATATGACCCCCAAAGCACAGGCAGCAAAAGGAAAAATAAACAAATGGGATTATATCAGAGTAAAAAGCTTCTGCACCGCAAAAAAACAATCAACAGAGTGAAAAACAGCACACAGAATGGAAGAAAATATTTGCAAATTATGCATCTGACAGGGGATTAATATCCAAAATATATAAGGAACTTAAACAACTTAACAGTAAGAAAACAGCTAACTCAATTAAAAAACAGGCAGTAGAGCTAAATAGGTATTTCTCAAAGAAGATGCACAAATGGCCAGCAGATACATGAAAAAATGCTCAACATCCATAAGCCTTAGGGAAATGCAAATCAAAACCACGTTGTGATATCATGTCACCTGAGTCAGTCTGGCTATTATTAAAAAGAAAAAGAATAACAAATCCTGACAAGGATGCACAGAAAGGGGGACTCTCCTACACTGTTGGTGGGACTGTAAATTAGTGCAGCCACTATGGAAAACAGTATGGATGTTCCTCAAACAACTACAGATAGAACTACCATATGATCCAGCAATCTCCCTGCTGGGTATATACCCAAAGGCATGGAAATCATCATGTCCAAGTGATACCTGCATTCCATGTTTATTGCAGTTCCATTTACAATAGCCAAGAGTTGGAACCAACCTAAATGTCCATCGACAGACAACTGGATAAGGAAAATGTGGTATATACACAATGGAATACTACTCTGACTTTAAAAAAAAATGGAATTCTGCCATTTGCAGCAACATGGGTGAACTTAGAGGAAATTTTGCTAAGTGAAATAAGCCAGGCACAGAAAGAGAAATACTGCATGTCCTCACTCATATGTGGGAAATAAAAAAATAAACAATTAAATTTTTACAAAGAAAGAAAGGTACAACAATCATAACAATTTGTTGAACTTTCAAAGGCAGGAATGGAACTGAGTACACCAGTGGAGGGGCAGGGGAGGGTTAGTGAGAAATTTGTAAAGGGCCACAAAATATGATTCCATCGAGTAATGTTGAATATACTAATTATCCTGATTTGGACATCATATATTGCACACAGGTATTGATATTCCATACGATATCCCACAGATATGTACAATTGTTTCAATAAAATAATAAATAAAGGAAAACCTAGACATGATTAAGGAGTACACATTTCATTGAAAGTTGAAGATTAAAGATCCTAATATAAAGATTTTTTTAATTAAATCAAAAAGCCAAGAATAAAAGAAAAGCTTAAATTCTCCACAGAATGTCTGAGTTTAGCTTGGAAAGGAAAGAACATAGTGGTTTTTCTTGTATTAGAACAGGTTTATAAAGGCAAAAAAAAAAGAAAAAGAAATACCCTTCTGGCTGCCAGTATGACATATACATCAGAAGTAACTAGACTGTAAACAGAGTAATCAGTCACAAAGTTCTAGTGAGCACAGGCAAGAGAGAATGGGTATTAAGAAGACAGAGTGAAGAGGATTTGATGCCTGCTGAGAGGTGAGGGATGATAGAAAGAGAGAAATCTGGAATGACTCCCAGATTTCGTTTAGGCTCAGGTGACTGAGTAGATGATAGGGCCATTCTCTGAGATAGGAAATGTAAGAGGAGAAGGTGAGTATTGAGGGATTAGGATATAGCAGCCCTTCAGAAATCCAAAGACAACATGCCATATTCTCCCAGTAAACACTTGAGACGTGTAAGCCATTATGACTGCTGGATGAGATCTCTCGCTCCTCCCCTTCAACCATTTCTCACATCATAATTTCTGTGTACTCTTATAAATGTTTTTTTAAGCAATGTATTCTTTTGAAGCTGAATATAATGTAACAGGTCTTTTTTGACTACACAGAGATTAGGAATGAGAAGTAACCCAGTCCAGCTATTCTTCAATTGACTGATTTTGTCAACTTGGGCAAAATTCTTTCACCAAGTCTCAATTTCCTCACGTTTATAATGAGGGATATTGTACTAAATGGTCTCTAAGGGCTCTTCCTAAGGATACTGTCAGAGTATCTGTGTCCCAATGTTTCCCTTGGTCCCTTTGTCTTTCTCCCTGCTCCCAGCAAGTGAAACTCAGCAGCCCTGATTACTTAAACTGTGACCGGGAAAAGGTTCTGGAAGACTTTCTAAAGAGAATCAAGTGCTATGAGGTCAACTACCAACCTTTGGATGAGGAACTAGACAGGTAAGAGCCCAGCACCCCAAAGTCAAGTTCTGGATCCTTAGCCCGGCTCTGATGTCCCATAGGACCCAGGGAAATGTCCTCCCTCTCTTAACTTCAACTTCTCTATCCATAAACATCAAGGGCCTGGACTTGATGATCTGTCTTCAAGAGCTAGCTCTAATTACCCATGAGGCAATGATTCCTTGATGTGTAAGGTGTTCATGAGGTGACTGAAATAGTGCTTTCCTGAGCAATATCAGAATCCCAATCTCTGGGAGCAAATGCCTCCCTCCTGTTGCTATTATTATTGCAAAAGTATTCTTCACACATGGATGGCACTTCATTTTCCAAACATGTTCACCTTCTCTCTTTCATTGAATCCCCACAGCACCCCTGTAAAGGAAGCTGAGATGGGTCTTATGATTATAAATTTTCGAGAAGAGGAAATTGAGTTTTAGAGAGCCAAAACTACTTTCTCAGGTAGAACTAGGATTCTAACCATGTATTCTGTCTTCTAGTCATGTCTCTTATAACACTCACTTACTTCTTTAATCAGCAAGTATTTGGTCCCTTTGGGTTGTGGTGTATGTAGGGGGTGTAAATAGGGGAAAGATAGGTGGGTTCTATTCTCAGGTAGCTTCCATAGTGCTTTGACATATGGGAAGACCCATGAAAAACAAGAAATTTTCTGTCATGATACAAGCTAAAGATAGGAGAGGTGCTAGCTGGCAGTACAGGCCAAATGTGAGTTTTAGATGTAGGATGTTCCCAGAACCCTACTCTTTTTCAAACTGGGTTGTGATAAGAAGGGATCTTTGCTACGTACACCCTTTGGCACCCAAGTGAGAAGTGTAAGGAGGCCTCAAATGGTCATTACCACCCTAAGAAGTTTAAAAATCATCCTTCCAGCCTTACCCAACTAAAGTACTGAAAGATGATTGTTGTTATTAGCTCGTTCCTTATATGGGGAAACTGAGACCCAGATCACATCAAAGGTTTACCTGAGGCTACACAATGACTCAGTAGCAGAATATATACCCAAACCCACAAACCTAAACTTCCAGCCTGGCTCTCCCCCTCCCACATCTCTGTATCATAAGAAGTGTCACATGGGGCTTAGACACTGAGAGCAAGGTGCATTGCCTTTTGATTGTTCACAGTACAGGCACCAATCAAAGGTACACTTGCTTCTCTCATCAGGATGTGTGCTAGAGTGGGTGGCCGTGTATGTCCTAAGGAAAGTGCACCTTTTTCAAGGTTCCACAAAGGCACCATATGGGCTAACAGCATATGGTAAAAGGAGCTTAAAGGAAGAGGTGGGGGAGCTGAAGTGAAAAAACAGCATCGAGAAAGCCCCCTGTCCAGGGTCTAGACTCCTGCAGGTACTCAGTTGGTGTTTAATGAATCAGTTCAGGCCTGGAAAGGACAGATCTAGAAGGTCAGCTTTATTTCATCATTTTTCCATCAACAGACACTTACCATTCATGCATCAGAGCCCAGCCCTGAGCTCTGCCCTAGGATCCCAATGAGGAAAGGACTGTCTCTGCTCTGACGGAATGCCCAGTCGGGGAAGATAATGAGTATAGAGTTGACCACAATTATGGAGACAGTAAACCAAGTGGTCTGTAGGAACATGGAGCAGAGGACCCAGCCCAGCTTGGGGAAAGAAGGTCTGGAAGGGCTGGATTACCCAATAGGCAGACTAAACATGTATTTAGGATACCAGCAAGGTAGGGACTACCAAAAATAAGAAAGAAGGAAACAATCTTAAAAGCCTTTAATATTTGATATTTCAAAAACAGTATCATGGTAGTCAAAGTGGAAAAAAATTAAACCAGAACTTGGCAGGACCTCCTCATATTATTATATAGTTTACAATTTTTATTTTAAATTACACATAGTGGGGGATGGACATTATCTATTATAATACTTTTGGTGTGAAGCACCTCTAAATGATTTCACATGATCCTGGGCTCAAAGAAGGCTTCTTGGAGGGAGTGAATACATTGGCTCCTGAGGGATCGTTGCACAGGAGCTCAACTTTGGAAATCAGGTAAGGAATGTTTTTTCAAGCACAGAGGAAAGCATTCTGTAAATCTGAGTGAGAGAAGAAGAGTACAGAGAATATTCCAGTGGAATAGCAAAGGCATGAAGACAAGAATGAAATAGAAGTTATGGGATGGGACGGTGAGGCCAACTGGGGCCAGTGTGTGAACACACCTAGACTATCAGACCAAGCTGAGGAATTCGGAAGTTTTCCTAGAGCCGTGAAAGGACCTAGCATTAGGAACAGACAGTAACCAGACAACACAATTACATCAGATATTTTATACCCCTAGGCTCTGAGGGTCCTAGGAGAGATGACTGGAAAGGGGAGCATTCTGGAGTTTAAATCCCAAATCTACTTCTTGAGAAGGCAACCTTAGGCAAATGACTTTCTCTCTCAGTCCTTCAGTTTCCTCACTTATAAAACAGAGATGATAATCTATGCTCTGTAGGATAGTTATGAGGATTCATGCACTTTAAGATCCCCACTCCCTGCCAGATGCACAGAAAATTTAAATGAAAGCACCCTGTGGGTACCATTGGATATGACACAGGGCTGGGCATGATGTGCATGGTGCAGGAATAAAGAACTTCTCTACAAAGATCAGGGGAGAGGCTTTCTGAAACAAAACTTATCAGCAGCCTTAGCTGCCTCAGGTTAGTGCAGCTCTTTCCATTCACTTGGTTTTGTTACTGTGCAACCAGGGTTGCCAGTGTCACCCCATTGCACCAGCCTCCCACACGTCTTCCTAGGGATCTCTCTGAATTCCATACAATCCCACAACTAAAGGATTAATGGCTGGCACAGCAGAGGCCTTAGGAGTCTTGCCCCATGGTTCTAGTCTTCTGATTAGTCAATGTCCCTACCTCACCCCCAGCTCCTTTGTAGACAGAGGGTTAAATAGTTTGATTATGGCTCAGTGCATATTTACTAGTTCATTACAGAGCACAGAAGTGAGCAAGGAGCTTGGAGCAAGAACCGCAAATTCCCCCAGTGATGTTGTGGACCACCTCTGTATCCCCATGTCCCAGTAGTTGGCACACCTGAGAGTGACTGCTTGCGGAATGGATTTTGAGTATTGCTCATGTGTTTCCAAGTATGTGTTCCCTTCTGGCTGAAGAACTCCCAAAGGGCAGACATTAGGTCTCTATCCCAAGCACAATGCCTTGAATAGAGGAGAATGTGTATATTGACTGCATGGCAAGTAGGGAAAGAACCAAACCCAACACCCTTTCTGACTAAAGAGAGAAAAATAGACACACATAGACGCATGCACACACAGACACATCTGGTAGCTGCCCTTAGAGTATAAAGTACAATATATCATGGCACAGGCTCAAAGAACAGGAAGAGCTTGGCTCAGGATCAGAAAGGGTGGTGGAGTAGATAGTTCAGGACCTTCCAGTGAGATGTTGGAAACAGCCAGGGGTACAGAAGATTACTCCTTATCTCAGAGTATGACAGGGATGTGAACCACAGAGGAGTGAACATCAGCTGCCTGTAGTGTGATGAGTGAAGTTGAAAAGACAGTCTGGCTCAAGCTGAGGCTGAGGAAGGGAGACAAGGGGAGATAATAGCAAGCACTGAACTTCTTAGGGTGGCCAGGAACCAAGTCTGTAGGACAGGTACCCAGAACAGGGAAAGCCGTGGCATCTCATTAGGTGAGAGATGCGTTGTGGAGGAGGCTTTAAAGCGAGGTGTCTGTGGTTGGGGCTTTTTCTCGGGATTAAGCCCTCTCACCATCAACCTCTGAGGTGCCCTTGCTCTGCTTGGCTTTGGCCCAGGCACCTGTCCTACATCAAGATCTTTGATGTGGGCACACGCTACATGGTGAACCGAGTGCAGGACCACATCCAGAGCCGCACAGTCTACTACCTCATGAACATCCATGTCACACCCCGCTCCATCTACCTGTGCCGGCATGGCGAGAGCGAACTCAACCTCAGAGGTCGAATCGGAGGCGACTCAGGTCTCTCAGCTCGGGGCAAGCAGGTAGGGAGGGCCTCATGCACCCAGATGGCTGGGCTAGGGGTAGGTGGGCAGGCCACTGCCTAAGGCCTGAGGAGAGATAGGTAGAAGCAGATTCGATCACTCTGCTCTTCTACTCCGTCTGCCACTCAGCCTTGACCCAGCCATTGAATGGCTCCAGCATGCCTACTGCTTCTGCTAGTCTGAGAGCCTGGTCCTGGCCCTCTCGGCCTGCCCACTGGCTGCCTCTCCAGCCCCATAACCATGACCAACCTTGCCACTGTCTGCTGGTCCCTTCCCCTTTCTCACAACTCTGTGCTTTCACTCGTGCAGTGTCCCCTCCTTGTCCCCTCTGTCACCTGGTGACCATCACTAGCACACACAGCATTCTCCTAACTCCCCTCCCCCACCTTCCACACCAAAGTCTGGGTATCCCAAACCCTGGAATTCCTTTGCTCTTATGTTCCGGAGTCTGCTTCCAGCACCTACATGGGCCTATCCCAGAGTCTGTCCAACTCATGGCAGGCCATGTCACAGAAGCATTCACCCTTAGGTTAAAGGGTGGCCAAGGGTTGCTGTTTATGGGACATGGGGACTGGTGGAGGTGGAATGTGGACAGAACTTGGTCATGTGATTGGGTTATTCAGAAACATGTGCTCAAAGCACCTAGAAATTCAGGATGGAGCCAGAAATGGAATGCGAAGGGGGGTAGACTGTGGGTGAGTTGCCTCCATTTGTACTCTTGTCCCAGGTCCCACAAATGTTTGAGGCAGGCCTGTTTGAATGAATGAATAACCAAGTAGAGGGTTCAGTGAGCAAGCATCAATGAGCACACACATACAGACACACATTATCCTATTCCCTTGACCCTTATGCATGTGGGAAAGAGTATGACTTTTTATAAATTTGAAACATTTAAACTCTCTGTTCTTGCTTGTTCATTACCACTCCACCATTTGTGGCAGATCTGAGCTTGTTCTCATGGCTGCCCTGTCCTCCTCACTGATCTTTTTTCCTTTCTGTCCTCCTCTGTACCCCCACACCCTAGTATGCCTGTGCCCTAGCCAACTTCATTCAGTCCCAGGGCATCAGCTCCCTGAAGGTGTGGACCAGCCACATGAAGAGGACCATCCAGACAGCTGAGGCCTTGGGCATTCCCTATGAGCAGTGGAAGGCCCTGAACGAGATTGATGCGGTGAGATGGAGGGGGTAAATCTCCTGGCAGGTGTGGAGGCTTGAGTCTGGACTTATCCCCTGGGTTGTCTCTGCTCTAACCCCTATAAGGAACCTTATTAATTCAACAAGTTTTTGTTAACTACCCAGCCATGTGCCAAACACTATTTCGTGTCTTGGGGATCCAGTGAAGGCCAGAATAGACAAGGCATCTGCCCTGATGAAGTCCAAAGGCAGACAGCAAGCAAAACATACATCTCAGTGTGACAAAGGGTTATGAGAAGGGAAGTACAAAGGACTATGGAGGATCAGGAGATGAGGGTGCTCCTGACCAGACTTGGTGGGGAAGGGGGGAGATTTACAAAGAAAGCATCCTGGAGCAAACTAGAGGTGAGATAAAAAGCAGGCAAAATGAGCTAGGGGTGGGAAAATGAATTTAGTTCTGGGATGGAGCACAGCTCATGTACAAAAAGAAGTTCAAAAAGAGCATGTCATGTTCAGGGAACTGAAAGAAAGAATAGTAGGAAGGCTGGGATAGTGGGGTCTGGAGAGAAGGAAGATGAGACTGGAAAGGGAGCCAGGCCACAGGGCCTTATAGTCCATGTTGATGGATCTGGATGCTGTCCTGATAACAATAGGAAGCCATTGATATGGTCTAAGTCAAGGAGAAGTGGCCCAAATGTTATTCACATTTTTTTTTAAAAAAGTCTGCTCTGGGTTTGTGTGGAGACTACATGGGAAGAGGGCCAGAATGAGCCTATAAACCAGTAAGGAAATGGCTGCACTAGTCTGGCAAGAGGTGAAGGTGTGTTGGACCAGAGTAGTAGCATTGGAGATGGAATGGAGGACTTGGGGAATGTTTCAACAGGACTTAATGGTGCACTGGCTGTAAGGAATAAGGAAGGAGGAATGAAGGATCCAACCCATCACATAGCAGTCTCTCTTCAGGGTCAGATTTTCTTACCCACCCTATAGGTGAACAGACACTGGGCAGCAGCCCACAGGTTATGGGCAACATAAAAGCTTTACCACAGATGTAGATAACTTTCATATGGGTAGGTTAACTTGCTTGCCTGCTATATATGTTTCTATAGATACAGACATGTATGTGTGTGTGTGTGTACATTCATACATATGTACCTAAATACACATGTACAGAGATACACATATTTAGAAAAGGCCTATACAGCATTGCTCTACATAGCACAACATTTGCTCTAATAAAACATGCAAGCAAATATGTAAACTCTTCATCATAGAAGTTTAGTTGCTATTTATTTCTGGCCCACGTGTGGTGTGGAAAAATTTATTGAACACCTACTTGTTTCAGATTCTGAGATGGAGATTAATCTGACTGGTTCCTGTCTTTGCTGAGTTCAGGCTAAATAGGGTAGACAGAGGAATAAACAGAGGAAAGCAAAGCAGCGTGTGTGATAGGCTCTAAAAGGTGAGACTGGGCATATAGAAGTCAGAACAGGGCACCTGACCCAGGCAGGATTAACGTGGGGGAAGTGATGATTGGCTGAAGCCTGAGGTTTAGTAGCAGTGAACCAGCTAGAGAGGATCAGGAATGGTATTCCAGGTGGTGAGAGCAGCAGAAGCAAAGAGGGTATTGTGCGTGTGGAAATGCTAAGGTTGTAGCAGTGGAGATGGAAAGGGAGGAAAAAGGAATAGATTTGAGAGAGATTTAAGAGTTAGCATCTCAGGAACTGACTCTGGGAGGTGGATGAGGAAGAAGCAAAACCTTAGAATGATACCTCAGTTTCTGGTCTGTTTTCCATGATTAATAATAATTTAATAACTAATTCCAATGCTTGAGTCTTTAAAATGTGCCTTGTACATTTTATATATCCTGTACTGGTATCTTTCACATGCATTATCCCTAATATTCAAAACACTATTATGAGATACTTGTAATTCTCCTCATTTTGCAGATGAGGAAAATAAAATTCAGAGAGGTTAGGCAATTTCCGTAATGTCAATAAGGAGTCAGCGGCCATTTCGACAGGTGACAGGCTCCCAGCATGCTTCAGAATAGAAGGTTGAGGTCAATCTGGAATGACTTTGTATACCCAGTAAGGTGCACTTTCTTCCATGGGCAGTGGCTGTTGGAGAAGTTTGACACCACACAACTGTTTGTGGGTTGGGGCGGGGTTCAGTTCCTCACCCATGAGAGAAGCCCGGTAGATGGGCCCAGAAGATAACAACTGGATGCCGCTGCCTCCCTACAGGAAGGTTTCATTGGAATCCACATGCCCAGAAGGAGACCTTAGAAACCCAAGATCACTTCCAATTGCCACCAGCAGCCACCTCACCTCTGGGGATTTCTCAGTAAACTTGGAAGCTCTCATATGCTCCTGAGGAACTCATTCTCTGAGCCTTCAATTCCCTCTTTGGGTGAGAAGAGTGTATCTCCCCAAAGCCCACTCTGAAACCATTAGAAATTTACAAATTTTTGTCCTCTGAGATGTCTGTGGATACCTGTTTCTTTATCTGCCAGAGGTTCCAAAGTCGAGGCCAGGGCAGGAGGGATTGGAAATGGCATAAAATGGGAGAGCACTACTGTGTATGTACACACACACATACACTTGCATATGTATTCACAGATAGCTACCACAAGTATGCTTACACTAACATATATGCTCCTCACAGACACATAGACCTTCTCCTACTATTCTCACCTGAACCATACATGCATACACATACACACTCACAGACAGACAGACATACCTAGAGAGAAATATGGAAACACTCATCATAGACACACACACAGTTTTTGCATATATATCCCTCACATGGACACAGAGGGGCATACCATAGATATGTACACAGTACGGATACATAGCCTCATGCATGTTACCACAGATTCACAAAGACCTCAGACACAGGCCCACAGATACACATATGCACCAGAGACATAGTGAGATGCATATACACTCACAGATAAACATGCCACAGACACACCAAGACCTGCTTGGAGAGACATACCACAGAGACACCCAGCGTGGGAACATTCTTAGATGCTCAGACACCCTGTACACACACACACACACTACATATGCCAAGACAAATACACACACAAACATGAGACACAAATCCTTAAACATACCACAAGTACACACCATAAGCACGCTGTATGCATGCTTGCAAACAAGGTCACAAATCCTTAAGCCCATGTTTATAAAAATACATACTTATATATATAATATGTCCTTAGAGACCTACTGGGACAATCATAGAAAAACACCATACACTCAGCCTGAGCACACCTATTCATATCTGCTCACAGCCACACACCTCATGCACACATATACATGTACATTCACAGACAACAGGTACAAACCCAGAGCTGTGTTCACAGAGACACAGGTGTTCATGTGCTACTGCCACAATCACTGGTTTCAGAACTATGGCAAAAGCTGTGTGGATTTCACCTTGTAAATACTTTTGTCCCCAAATACTTTTCTCAGGGTGTCTGCGAGGAGATGACCTACGAAGAAATCCAGGAACACTACCCTGAAGAATTTGCACTACGGGACCAAGATAAATATCGCTACCGCTATCCCAAGGGAGAGGTAAGGTTTGGAGGGGTGGTCTAACTCCTAGGACTCCTCCCTAGTATCTCCATACTGACTACTAGGATCCCACAGTTTCCTAGACAGCCTTAGAAAAAGGATAAAGCATATTTTGCAGCAGCTGCTATCCCACAAGGCACATGATTATCTGGCCCTTGCCTGTCTCAGATACTTCACTATAATCCACTGATTCCTCTTTTTAGAAAAATACTTATTTACCTGCTTATTCTCTCTCTGCTTTCAGGAGGGTTTCCTTTACCTAGACCTTGTTTCTGGTATGCCTTCACTTGAAATAATTCAACATTCTCCAATTTCCTGACATTATGTTGCCAAGTTACCTAAACCTCCAGCCTCTCTGGGCAGTTGACGTTGTCCCAAGAGACGATAGCTAATAGTTTAACCAAATTCTTTGCTACCACATGAATCACATCATCAGTTCCCAATCCCCATATGAGATGAATGCTCATTGCATTGCTTTATTTTTTTTAATTGGATGGATTGTTTGTTGTTATTATTGTTGTTGTTTATGGGGTATGAATATTCATGAGATACAAAGCTGATTGTCACCCCTCACGCCCATGATGTGAGGGCCAGATTCATACTGGCAGCATACCCATTACCACAAAGTGCATTTCTACCGCATGTCCCCCACCCAATTATCCCCAACCAACCTCTCTCTCCCCTTCCCACCCCCCCCACTCCACTTTGTAGACCAAGGAATGTTCTCTCCCTCTGCAAGTCCAATGCACTACTGTGGTCTTTTTTTCCTTCTTTTCTTTCTTAGCTCCCACACATGAGTGAGTACATGTGGTATTTATCCATCTGTGCTTTGCTTATTTCACTCAACATAAGTTTCTCCAGGCTCATCTATGTTTTTGCAAATGGGAGAATTTCATTCTTTTTTATGGCAGAGTAGAATTCCGTGGTATATATATACCACAGTTTCCTTATTCAGTCATCCATTGATGGACATTTAGGTTAGTTACACGTCTTGGCTATTGTAAACAGAGCTGCAATGAACATGGGAGTGCAGGTATCCCTTCGACATGATGATTTCCATTCCTCTGGGTATATACCCAGAAGTGGGATTGCTGGATCATATGGAAGATCTATCTATAGTTGTTTAAGAAACCTCCATACTGTTTTCCATAGTGGTTGTACTAATTTATAGTCCCACCAACACTGTAGAAGTGTTCCCTTCTCTCCACACCCTCGCTGGCATTTGTTATTCACCATCTTTTTGATTATAGCCAGTCTAACTGGGGTGAGGTGATATCACAATGTAGTTTTAATTTGCATTTCCCTGATGACTAGTGAGGTTGAGCATTTTTTCATGTACCTGTTGGCCATTTGTATGTCTCTCTTTGAAAAATGTCTATTCAGCTCCTTTGCCCATTTTTTAATTGGGCTATTTGGTTTTTTACTGTATAATTGCTTGAGTTCCTTGTATATTATGGATATTAATCCTTTGTTGGATGCATAGTTAGCAAAAATTTTCTCCCACTGTGTAGGTTGTCATTTCACTCTGTTGATTGTTTCCTTTGCTGTGCAGAAGCTTTTTAGTTTGATATAGTCCCATTTGCTTATTTTTTCATTTACTGCTTGTGCTTTCGGGCTTATGTTCATAAAGTCTACGCCCAGATCTAGTTGCTGAAGTGTTTCACCTATATCTTCCCTTAGTAATATTAGTTTCAGGTCTTCTACTTAAGTCTTTAATCCATTTTGAATTGATTTTAGTGTATGTTTAGAGGTGCATATTTAGTTTCATTCTTCTGCATATAGATATCCAGTTTTCCCAGCACCACTTGTTGAAGAGGCAGTCTTTTCCCCGATGTAGATTTTTGTTGCCTTTGTCCAATATCAGATGGCTTTAAGCCTGAGAGGTGATTTCTGGGTTCTCAATTCTACTCCACTGGTCTGAATGTCTATTTTTATACCAGTACCATGCTGTTTTGGTTACAATACCTTTGTAGTACAATTTTAAGTCAGGTAGTATTATGCCTCTGGCTTTATTTTTATTTTTATTTTTTTGCTCAGGATTGCTTTGGCTATTCAGGGTCTTTTGTTGTTCCATATAAAAGGTAAGATTGTTTTTTCCAATTTTGTGAAGAAGGTCATTGGTATCTAACAGAAAGAGAAATAAACAAAGTAAGCCCATTTACAATTGCCACACAAAAAAAAAATTCCTAGGGATCGATTTAGCCAAGAAGGCGAAAGACCTCTACAATGAGAACTGCAAACCACTTCTGAAAGAAATTAAAGAAGACAAAAAAAGATGGAAAGATATTCCATGCTCTTGGATTGGAAAAATTAATATTGTGAAAATATCTATACTATTCAAAGCAATCCACAGATACATTGCTTTTAATTCAGCCTCCACTTAGCCAGTTCCACATTTTAGAGCATTTATTAGTCATGCACCATTTATGATACAAATTCTGGGAACAACTATCAGAAAAGCAGTATATCTGGGAAGAGAAAATAATAGATATTCTATTCAGTTTCAAAGCACATTCTCATTTTTATCTTCATCCTCAGATGTGATATTTTAAAGGCACACAACTTAAAGCAATTATATCTTCTCAGTGAATTGTACATTTTTATTATTACATTGTGACCAAACCTCTTTTCTCCTAATAATGATTTTTGCCTAAAAGTTTTTTTTTTTATTTTATCAATACATAGTGTGGTTGATTTTTGTGGCCCATTACCGAGCATTTTTCCCTCTACCCCCTCCCTCCCAAAAGCCTCATATCTGTTCTCTTGACAACTTCAAGGAATTGTGATTGTTGTGTCTTCTTCCCACCCCCTCCCCCCAGTTTAATTGTGTATTTATTTCTTTATTTTTAGCTCCCACAAGTAAGTGAGAACATGTGGTATTTCTCTTTCTGTGCCTGACTCATTTCACTTAATATAATTTTCTCTAAGTCCATCTATGCTTTTAAAAAATAAAATAAAACAGGGAGAAGACAGGGCCAGGAGACACTGGGCTGGGCTGCGCACCAGGCCCAGGCCTGTCCCTCGTGGCCGCATGGACTGTCTGAACCCACTCCCCTGTCTGGCCGGTTCAAGCCAGCACAGTGGCCACCCTCACCTGGATGACCCTGTTGACCTCCCGGATACATTCCACCATGTGTTGCAGATTCTGCTCGGCTGTGAGCACTTAATAGCGGTAATAAAAATAGAATAGTGAGATCTGTGGAGACCACATGCCCTGTGGTGCCAGCACGTGACCCAGCAGGTAGGTCTAGCCACCGCCACCCAACTCCATACCAAGCCCAGCCAAGTACATGCTAACCAGAGAGGTGCCTCCTCTGAGAGGACCAAGATCCGAGGCGACCAAGCACCTGAGATAGGGTTAGGGTTAGGGTTAGGGCAGTTGAGCAGACACTGAGGCAGCCATACCAAATTGGCAACCCCAGCATCATCATAGCCAGACAGTAGTGCCAAACCAGTGGACCATGAAATCCTCTGCCACAATGACTAAACATCAAAGGAAAGATATGAAGAAGATGGAAAGATATCCCATGCTATTGGATTGGAAGAATCAACATTGTTAAAATGTCCGTACTACCCAAAGAGATATACAAATTCAAAGCAATCCCCATCAAAATTCCAATGACATTTTTCTGAGAAATGGAAAAAACTATCCAGACATTTATATGGAATGACAAAAGACCACACATAGCCAAAGCAATTCTGAGCAAAAAAAAAAAAAATAAAGCTAGAGGCATAACACTACCTGCCTTTAAACTATACTACAAAACTATAATAACCAAAACAGCATGGTACTGCCATAAAAACAGACACACTGATCAGTGGAATAGAATAGAGAATCCAGAAATCAACCCACACACCTACAGCCATCTGATCTTTGACAAAGGCACCAAGCCTGTACACTGGGAAAGAGACTGTCTCTTCAGTAAATGGTGCTGAGATAACTGGATATCAATATGCAGGAGAATGAAACTAGACCCATACCTTTCACCATATACCAAAATCAACTCAAAATGGACTAAAGAATTAATTATACACCCCGAAACAATAAAGCTTCTTAAAGAAAACATAGGAGAAACACTTCAGGAAGTGGGACTGGGCACAGACTTCATGAATATGACCCCAAAAGTACAGGCAGCCAAAGGAAAAATAAACAAATGGGATTATATCAAACTAAAAGGCTTCTGCACAGCAAAAGAAACTATTAACAGAATTAAAAGACAACCAACAGAGTGGGAGAAAATATTTGCAAAATATACATCTGACAAAGGATTAATATCCAGAATATACGTTATATGTTAAGGAACCTTAACAACTTTTCAACAAAAAAAACCAAGTAACCCAATTGAAAAATCGGCAAAAGAGCTAAATAGGCATTTCTCAAAGGAAGATATACGAATGGCCAACAGACACATGAAAAAATGCTCAACATCACTCGGCATTTGGGAAATGCAAATCAAAACCACACTGAGATACCATCTCACCCCACTTAGGATGGCTAATTTCCAAAAGATTGTATAAATGCTGGTGAGGTTGCAGAGAAAAAGGAACTCTCATGCATTGTTGGTGGGACTGCAAAATTGTGCAGCCTCTATGGAAAATGGTATGGAGGTTCCTCAATAAATTGCAGATAGATCTACCATATGACCCAGCTATCCCACTTCTGGGAATATACCCAGAGGAATGGAAATCATCAAGTCGAAGCTATACCTGTTCCCCAGTGTCCATTGCAGTACTCTTTACAATAGCTAAGAGTTGGAACCAGCCCAAATGTCCATCATCAGATGAGTGGATATGGAAAATGTGGTATATCTACACAATAGAATACTACTCTGCTATAAAAAAGAATGAAATACTGTCATTTGCAACAACAGGGATGGACCTAAAGAGAATTATTTTAAGTGAAATGAATCAGGCACAGAAAGAGAAATATCACATGTTCTCACTTATTTGTGGGAGCTAAAAATAAATAAACAAATGCACAAAAAACCTGGGGGGGGTGAGGGAAGAAGACACACAATTACAATTCCTTGAAGTTGATATGACAAGCAAACAGAAAGGAGATTGTTGGGAGGGAGGAGGGAGCAGGAGAAGGGAGGGAGGTTTCAGTAATTGGCCACAATAATCAACCACACTGTAAATTGACAAAATAAGATTATATTAAACAAAAAATAAAAATAAAATAAAATGAAGCTGGAGGCATAACACTACCTGACTTTAAATTATATTACAAAGCCATAATAACCAAAACAGCATGGCACTGACATAAAAACAGACATATGGATCAATGGAATAGAATAGAGAATCCAGAAATCAACCCACACACCTACAGTCATCTGATCTTTGACAAAGGCACCAAGCCTATACACTGGAGAAGAGACTGCCTCTTCAGCAAATGGTGCTGGGATAACTGGATATCCATATGCAAGAGAATGAAACTAGACCCGCACCTCTCACCATATACCAAAGTCAATGCAAAATGGATTAACGAATTAAATATACATCCAGAAACCATAAAAGTGTATTTTATCTAATATTACTATTTACCTAATATTACTATTAGTTATAATAGTTTCTTCTGGTGAATATTTGCCCAGTTCATATCTATGTGTTCATTTACTTTCAACTTCTGTGTATTTTTGTTTTGAATCTCTTGTAAACAGTTTATAGCTGGATTTTGTTGGTTTTAATCCAAACTGAAATTTGTCTTTTGAATGGTAAGTTTGTTACATTAATTTTATTGTAATTACCAAATTTTTTTAAAATTTATTTTTATTATATTGTCTTGAGCTTTCTATGCTTAGTTTCTTTTTTCTTTTTTCTTCCTTCTTTAGGATTGATAACGTTGTATAATCTGTTTCCATTTTGTCATAGTTTATCCTAAACATTTTTTTTTAAAGATTTCATCACGGTTCTTTTTATTCTTAGTGGTTATCAGACTAAGGGTAAAAGCTCAAAATATTGTATTTTAAAATCAATTATTTGAAATAATTCTTTTCTGTGTGGTATACAACAACTTGAATGCTTAACATCTTAATATGCATAATTAACAAAATCTAAAGTCAATATTGCTACCTCCCTCTAAACAATAGAAGAACTTCAAAACTCTGGTCATGCCTTCTAATAAATTTACATGTTAATTGTTTTGTACTTCAGTTCTACCTTAGTATTAATCCCCAAATGAATTATTACTGTTATTATTGCTGTTGTTATTATGATTGTATATAGCTGATGTTTATTTAACTTTAACCACATTTACCAATTCTTTTGATCATTCTTACTCCTTGCATCCCAAGTCTTCCTTCTGGGTTCATTTTCCATTTTCCTTTAGAAGTTTTTTTTTTTTAATGAGAGTCTATTGTAAACTAACTTTTCTTTTTGTCTAAAAATGTCTTGGGGAAGGAGGAGGGTCCTCAATCCTAGATGATACTTTAGCTGGATATAAAACTCTAGGTTAACAGTTGTTTCCTCTCAGCACTTTCTGGTTTCTACTGTGGCTAAAATATAAATCTACTGTCAATCTAATTGTTTCTTTTCTCTTTGGCTACTTTTTTTTTTTTTGTGACCAGTAAGGGGATCGCAACCCTTGGCTTGGTGTCGTCTGCACCACGTTCAGCCAGTGAGCGCACCGGTCATCCCTATATAGGATCTGAACCCGCGGCGGGAGTGCCACTGCGCACCCGAGAGCTGCACTCTCCCAAGTGCGCCATGGGGCCGGCCCTTTCTTTGGCTACTTTTAAGGTCTTTTGTATCTTTGTTGCTTTTAAGTTTTGCTCTCATACATACAGATATTAATTTCTTTTTATTTATCTTGCTTTGGATTAGTTGGGCTTCCTAAATCCGAGGACTGGGATTCTTCATCAATTCTGGAAAAGTCTCAGACATTATATCTTTAAAAATTCCTCTTTCACATTCTCTCTATTATCTCCTTCTAGAAATATAATTAAATGTATGTTAGTCCTGCCTCTATCATTCATGTCTCCTAAGTTTTCCTTTTTATTTTCTATCTCTTTGTTTCTCTTTGCTGTATTCTGAGTAATTTTTTCAGCTGTATCTTCCAAATCACTATTATCTTCCAATCCGCTATAATCGATATGCTGTTGAGTCTATTCACTGAGTTTTCTTAATAAATATATTTTTCATTTCTAAAATTCTATTTAGATCTTTTAAAAATCTACTTCATGTAGCCTCTTGTTTCTTTCTTATATTTTTCATTCTATCTCGTATTTCTTTAAAAATTTTAAACATATTTATTTTATATTGTGCATCCTTTAAGTTTTTAAGGTTCTCTTCATGTTGTTTCTGCATATTCTCACTCATGATAGCTTACTTCCTTTTGTGTTATGTGAGCTCCAATTTGGCAAGAATTTTCTGTGGGAATCCCATATAGCTGGAGTTGAGAGAATCCAGAGAGAATTTCCATTTGCTTCTTCCAGAAAGTCCTGGAAGCTAATGACATGGGACCACTTTTTATTAAACTCTCAGCATAACATTTCCCAAACCATGTGGATAGAGTAATTCTGAATCGCCAGCCTACCTGAGGGAAGGCTTGTGGTTATAAATTCTTACAAGAGACTTTCTTAATATTTTCTACCAAGAGCCAAGGAGAGACAGACATATTTTCCTGTTGTTTCCCTTTGCCTATGGATGGACTTTTCTAGTTGACACTTCTACTGAAGGATTAAAGATGTGCCCTTTGAGGGTCTCAGATTTATGTGAAACTATCAGTCCCAACTCCTCACCTTATACACAACTAAGGCCTTGTCTCCTATTTCTATGAGGTTTTTAAATCTCAAGCCTTTTGGTTACTATGATTGGCAAATGCGCCCAGGGCATCTGTGGCTTCTACATCCACTTATCACTCTTTTTCTCAAATTTTCCTTCATTTTGGAACCCTATATTTATAGAATTTCCCTTATATTTTTGAAAAGTCAGTAATGCAGAGTTTTATTGTTGTTATTGTTATTTAGTCCACTATATTGATTGACCCCATTTAATAGATGAGAAACTGCGTTGCCTAAGGTTATACTACTGGGTCAACAACTGAACTGGCACCAGAACCAAGTTTTTCTGATTCCTAGTCTAGAGTTCTTCTGCTATGGATAAATATGCCTCATCTCCCTTTCTTATCCAACTATTTCTCTCACCTTTAGTCCTATGAGGATCTGGTTCAACGTCTGGAGCCAGTTATAATGGAGCTAGAACGACAGGAGAATGTACTGGTAATCTGCCACCAGGCTGTTATGCGGTGCCTTCTGGCCTACTTCCTCGACAAAAGTTCAGGTACCACCCTTTTCTCTGTTCTTGGCATGGGGAACTGGATACGATTGGAGGCCCTGACACCAACAATTAGGGGTTTATATCTTAGTGGTTAAGAGCACAGTATCTAGAACAAGTATGCCTAAGTTCAAATTCTTTCTCTGTCACATGCTAGCTGTACTACCTTTAAAAATTACTTTAACCTCTCTGGCCTTAGTTTCCTCATCTGAAAAATGGGGAGAATAATGGTGAAGTTTAAATAAACAACATTTATAAAGAGCTTAGAACAGTTCATGACACATTGTATGGGCTATATAAGTGTTAGCTGTTATTAGTATTAATATTATTCTGAGCTAACGTTTTCAAAGCCAGCATTAACAGACTGCCTCAACCCCAAAAAGATGAGCCAGTATTTCTCTGGAATATGCTGTCTTCAGGTGATAGTTGGGTCTTTTGTGGCCTCATGATCCTGATTATAGGTTTCTGTCTTTGCTGTAGGGATGATTTCCCCAAGATAGTGATGTTTTTATTTTAAATTTTTTCAAATGGTAATTTATTTTTTTAAACATCTAGACATTGTACGTATAGAGTATCTATACATTGACTACATATGCTGAACTGAAAACTAGGGCAGGTGGCCTGGCAAGGGATCATTCACACCTGTAGCACCTTCAGGTGTGAGAATCCATTTCTAATGTAGATTCTGAAGTGTTGGCATTTCCAGGATATTCTGAGAGTGTTTGAGAACAATGAAAGATGTTATTTGACACCTACAACGTCTTGTAATCTTGGATCTTTTCTGCAATGCTAGTTTCAAAATAAAGAGCATGTGTGATATGTAGTCATCCAGAATTGGAACCCAGGGAACTTGAGAAATTGACATTGGATAACTCATTTCCTATGCCTGGTCCTCAGTTTTCTCAATGGAAATAGGCGATGGGATGTGCAGTGGGGGGTTTTATGTTGATAGATTTCTGATATGTTCACATCTCTATTTTTGAGGGCAGTTTTTTGAGACCATCAGGCAGGCACTATAACTCACATTGTCCAGATGAGGAAGCGGAGGCCCAGAGAGGTGAAGTGACTTTCCCAAGGTCATAGGGCTCAAAGTATCAGGGACAGGAGTTGATCCCAGGTGCATGCCAAAGGCCCTCCTCTCTCAGATATGTATGGAGTGCAGAGTATGTGGGGAACATGAGAACCTTCCACTTTCTCCACTTCCTACCCATTTTCACGCACAGGCCACCCCAGCTGCTCACAACTGCCCTAGGAGCCAGGCAGGGCAGGGCTGAGCAGAGGATCTTACCACCATTACTCAGGTGAGTGATGGAATGAGGCTCAGAGAGATAATGGGACTGGGAATGCAAACCTACAGAAATTTAGGGTGGGGGCATCCTAAGAGTACATCTAGTATAGGCCTGTCTTGTGAAATGGGGACACCAAGGGCCAGATAGAAGAGGCCGAGCCGAGGTCACTAGTTGAGGCCATGGCAGAACTGGGTCAGAGACGTCAGGCAAATCACTTCCCTTCTCTCAGTGTGCTTCCTCATGTGCACAGTGAGGGCACACAGAGCCCCAGAGTACCAGTGAGGACACAATGAGAGTGCACAAACCCTGGTGCAGACCCTAACACATAGCAGGATCTCAAAAAACACTTGTGACATAAATTGTGGGCCTTTGTGGTGGTGAGGTCTGTGACAGGCCCAGACTGGGGGCAGCAGGGAGGTTTACTGTGGTCTCCTGTACACCCTTTGAGTGAGGAGGTGGCAGTCTCTGGGGCAGCTGGCCTGACCTTCTTGCAGGACCCACAATCTGCTCACATTCCCCAGGCCAGCCTCCTGCTCCCTTCCTCCCTTCCCAGCTGGCTCTCAGTGCTGCCCCCTGCAGAGGGTGGGAAGGGGAGGGGGAGGGGAAAAGTCCAGGAAGCCTGGAGACCTGGGGAAGTGGTACCCTGTCCAGCACCGTGTCTCTGAAGGCTACTTCCTCCTCCTTTCTAGATGAGCTTCCCTATCTCAAGTGCCCTCTGCACACAGTACTCAAACTCACACCTGTGGCTTATGGTGAGTGCTCCCACTCTGATCCAAAGAAAGGTACATAGAGGCCATGAGCATGCTCCTAAGTGCCTACCATTTGCCCAGCAGAGTTCTGGGGGAGGTTCCCTAGGTGGATGGGTGGATGTCCTGGTGGAGGTGGGACTGGTGATAGGATAGCGGGGAAGGACTGAAAGGGCCTCTAAATCCAAGTCCTGGCCCCAACTCTCTCTGTCTTTGCCAGAGCACCGAGCACGGAGCACTGAGAGCAGAGCAGGGAGCTGGGCCGGGATGGGGGGTGGAGGGGTTACCCAAATGCAACCAGATGAAAATTGTAGGATGGTGCTATATTAAAGAAAGAACTCAAAGACCAGCCTGGGTAATTTAGACTCTCTCAGGGCATTAATTAGCTATAAAATCTTCATGAGCGGAGAAGGGTCAGAATCACGTCTATTCCGGTGTGAACAGGGCAGAACGGCCTACTGAAGCCTGGAGTAGGGCACAGTCTTCAGGGTGGAGCTACGAGGGCTTCCAAGGCATTAGGTCTCCTCTGCCAGTCCCAGGCCCCAATGATGCACCGTCCTACTTTTTCAGGTTCCCTAGTGACCTTCTACACTCCTGGCATTGCCATAACCACATGGTCCTCTAATAAACTTTGCCTGGGATGGACCACCCAAAGCACTGACCTCAGGCCTCTTCCACCTCTTCAGCACCTAACATGGCTTGGAGGGTCCACAGAGTTCATCAGTATTACACAGATTAGATTGCTGCCCCACATACCACAAGAGTTGGGGGAAGCCACGGAGATCATCTCTCATCTCTATCTCTATCAGAGAACTCAGAGACAGTTAGGGGCAGAGATGAGAGGACACCCCATTGGCTGCCTGTTGGGTCTGGTGTCTTCCCCACACATTATGTATCTCCTCTAAATTCCTTTTCTACAGGGCAGTCACAATCTGCACACAGTATGGAGATGGGGTATGGGTGGTGATGGGGGGAATGATACCTCAGGGAAGATCTGTGCTTACCTTGGGGGCCTACAGACAGAGGGGTTGTTCTTTTCTGAGGCTGCAAAGTGGAGTCCATCTACCTGAATGTGGAGGCCGTGAACACACACCGGGAGAAGCCTGAGGTAGGTGGGGGGGAGTCTGTCGCCCAAGCTGGCTGTAGACGCAGGACATGGTGAAAGCACCTTCCCCCACAGAAAGGCTGCCCCAACTCCACGGAGCCTGGGTGTTTCACACCAACAGGTGGAATAACCAGCACCTGGAAATGGAGGAATCACAGCCCAGACCTGAGGCACCATAGAAATGTAGGGCCAGGGCCACCCCTGCCAAAAAGGCCTCAGGCTGAGATTCCCCCAAGCCTGGCTACCACGAAGAGAGCCTGGCAGTGAGAACCAGAGGCAGGAGAGGGGCTGGGGTCCTAAACTACTGTCTCCTTCCTATTAATCCTGGGTTCTTTCTTCTCAGAACGTGGACATTACCCGGGAACCTGAGGAAGCCTTGGATACTGTCCCTGCCCATTACTGAGCCCTTTCCAAGAGGTCAAGCTGTCTCTGTCCTCACTGTCTTCCACCTTTAGGAACACCTATCCTTGCCCTTCTCCTACCCACATTCTGACCTCGGTCTCACTGGGAGAGCCCTGCTTCTAACGAAGAAGTCCTCAAAAGCTCCAAACTAGATCTCAATTCCTGACCACAACCAAGGAGCTATCTAGCTCTGGATAAAGCTCTTTCTTTCTTAATTTCTATTCTCTTATCAATGAAGACTTCTTGTACTGCCTACAGGAGAGGAGGAGGTCATGATGAGGTTTCTCCCATTGTTCTCAAGTTCCTGAGTCTGATCCTGACACAGCTTTGGTGGTATGGGGGTGTGGAGTGGGCAAGGTCTTCCTCAAAGGAAGAGTTCCGAGGTAGCATCTCCAAAGATGGGGGAGAAGATAGGTCCCTGTGAGTGCCTATGGACCTTGTTCCTTGGTGTGCAGGGTAGCAGGAGGCATGACACCTTCATCTTTACACTTAGGGAAGAATTTGGCACTTGGGCCAAGTGCTCCACTCTTCTCCAACTCTTGCTGCCATCCTGAGTGATTTCACTGTCGATGAGAATGACCCAACCAATGCCCTGGCCTCCCAGTCCCTTGACCCCCTCAACTCGTGATCTTCTCCCTTTCAGCCATCCACTTCATGGACCTTGGAATCTTCTCCCTGGTCTAGCTTCTTCAATGCAAGCATCCCACTGTCTGACTACTGCCCCCCGCCCCCCCGCAGTCCTTACAACTCTCTGCATCATCCACAGGATCCCTAGCAGCATGCCTCCAAACATTAAGCCTGCATGGAGTATTTCTTGAATGAATAATATTTGTTCTTATACTGCACCAAGAATATAGACCTTTGATTTCTCCATTGCCTCCCAGTCCATCAGTCCTCTCCGTCTTCAATGTTCTTCCATCCCTAATCAGCTTGGATCCTATGGTCCATCTCTTCAGCCACTCTTCATGCACCTACTATGGGCCAGATACCAGTGACCCAGTGGAAAAGAGACAGATTCATATACTTGCTGCCTTTGTTTCCTTGTCCTTCCATCACAACCACCCAGCAAGACCCAAACCTTGTATAATCCACATCTTTTTTGGTTGGGATCTACTACAGGGTTGTCAATCATTGCTTGAAGTAGATATATATTTATCTGTTTCCATAACCACCCTTAAATTCTGTTCAAAGTCAGGGTCACCCACAATTCTCTGGTACCCTATCCCATCCCACCTTCTGAGAAATGGGCTATTCAGTCAATTCTTGACTCTTCCATATCTATCTTTTGTCCCTTTTTATTGGCTTTTGCCCCACAATCTATGCCATATGTTCGAGTCTTTCTCTCCTATCTCAAGAACACCCTCCCTTGTTCCTATGTCCACTCCTAGTTACCTCTCTCTCCATCTCTCCGTTCTTACACAAATGACTCAAAATGAATCTATACTTACTGTCCAGAACTCTCTCCCTTTGCCTTCTGCTCCAGGCTTTCCCCCTCTGTGTCTTTGCTCAAGCTATTATGCCCTTGCCTGCCATGCTTTCTCTAAGCCTCTATCCCAATGAAGTCATATTTGCCCTTTAGCCTAAAGCTGGAGCCTTACCCTCCCCAAATAGCCATGCTGATATCTAGCTCTTCTACAAACCCAAAATGTCACTCACAACTACTTACGCACATTAACAAACAAAAAACTCCAATTCATTTTGCAAATTTAATGTAACTCTGATACCAAAATATGACAGCACACAGAAGGAAAATAATAAAGCAGGAACAGCAAAGAGATTTTTCAGTGTCGTCACCCTCAGTTGATCAGTAGAAGCTGCTTAGACTGCTATGTGGACAGATTCCAAGGATATACTTTGGCTCCATGGGAAGGACTGTTGCAATTCATTAGCGATATCTGTAAACACGGGCATAAACTTGAAAACAAAACACCAAACAGAAATGCAGTTTAACACCAAATGTACTGTTTTCTCATACTTCCTTCATTGCCCTCATCTTCCCGCCTCACCCTCCAACCTCAGTGTTTTTCCTAACATCTCCCAACTCATACCCATCCCCATGGATTCTGGCTATGGACACATTGCAGTTACCTGAAACCTCACTAGCCATAGGAGAAGCCACAGGCACCAAGGCTGGTGGCTCCACCACCAAAGCCAGCACCAGTACTTGGTCCACCACTGAAGACAGCACTGCTGCTTGGTTCACCACCAAAGCTAGCACTGCTGCTCAGTCCACTGCTGAAGCCACTGGTGCTTGGTCCAGTGCAGAAGCCAGCACCAGTGCTTGGTCCACCACTAAAGCCCATAATAGAACTGGTTCCACTACTGAAGCCTGTGCCAGTGCTCGGTTCACCAGTAAAGCCAGTGCTGGCATTGGAACCACTGCCAAAGCCAATGATGGTACTTAGTCCTCTGTTGAAGCTGGCATTAGGCCCACTACCAAAACCATTGCTGGTGCTGAGGCCAGCATTAAAGCCAGTGCCAGTGCCAAGTGTGCTGCCAAAACCAGCACTGGTGCCTAGTCCACCATAAAAGCCATCACTGGTAACCAGTCCACCACTAAAGCTGGCACTGGTGCCTAGTCCACCACCGATGCCAGTTCTCATGCCTAGTTCACCACTGAAGCCAGTGCTGCTGCCTAGTCCACCACCAAAGCCAGCGCTGGTACCCAGTCCACCAACAAACCCAGCGCTGGTGCCTAGGCTGCCACCAAAGCCAATGCTGGTGCTTAACACACTGCCAAAGCTGAAACCAGCACTGGTGCTGGGTCCATCCCCAAAACTGGCACTGATAGCACCACTAAAGCAGGCACTGGTGCAAGGAGGGCCACCAAAGCATAGATTGGTGTTAGATGCACTGCCAAAGCTGAGGCTGGTATTGGGAGCTCCACCAAAACACAGGCTGATGCTGTCAGCTCTCCAAAGCTGACGCTAGTGCTGGGAGCACTGCCAAAGCCGATGTTGGTTCTGGGAGCACTGCCAAAGCCGATGTTGGTGCTGGGAGCACCGCCAAAGCCAATGCTGTTGTTGGGAGCACCACCAAAGTCGGTAGTGGTACTATGTGTCCCACTGAAGCCAACAATGGTGCTGAATGCACTGCCAAAACAAGGGTTGGTGCTGGGTGCACTGCCGAAGCCAACACTGGTACTGACAGCACCACTGAAGCTAGCACTAGTGCTGACAGCCCCACTGAAACCAGCAGTGGTACTGAGTGCAGTGCTGAAAACAGCAGTGGTGTTGAGTGTACTGCCAAAGCTGGCACTGGTGCTGGGAGAACTACCAAAGGAAACACTGCTGCTGAGTGTACCACCAAAACCAGTGCTGGTGCTGAGAGAGCCACCAACGCAGATACTGGTACTAACTGTGCCCCAAAGCTGACACCAGAGCTTGGAGAACCACCAAAGCAGACCCTGGTGCTGAGTGTGCCTCCAAAGCCAGAGCTGGTTCCACCACTGAAACTGGTGCTAATGTTGAGTGGGTCACTAAAACTAGAGCTGACAAAGGTGTGCCACCAAAGGTAATGCTGGGTCTACCACTGAAACTAGTGCTAGTGCTGGATGTGCCACCAAGGCTAATGCTGGCTGTGCTGCTGAAGCTGGAGTTAGTCCTGGTTGTGCCATCAAAGCTAATGCTGGCTGCACTACTGAAGCTGGCACTGGTGCTGGATGCATCACCAAAGGTAATGGGTGCACCACCAAAGGTAATGGATGCACCATCAAAGGTAATGCCAGCTCTGCCACCAAATCCACCACTAGGGCTGGGTGAACCACTGAAACTAATACTAGCATCATCACTGAAGCTAGTCCTTGTGCTAGCTCCTCTGCTGAAAATGACATTGGTGCAAGCATATGCATTTTCTTAGGCTCTAGCCTCAATTTCAAATGAAAACCTGCTCCAGGCCTGACCGTCATCACCTAACTCTTCCCTTGTTAGGCAGTTGATATCCATGTCATCCCAATTCCAGAGCCCAGCCACAGCTTCCTCTCCAAACCCCATTTGGGCTCTTGCCTCAGCCCTGACCTCAACCTCAGCCACAGCCACAGCTGCAGCTTGGACTTCCATCTCCACCATCTCCCAGTACTGAGCAGTCCAGTCCTTGGGGTCTTTCTTCTGCACCTGAAATGGGAATGATAATCATTATAAGAAAATATCCCTTGTAATTATGTATTAAGCACCTACTATGGGCTTTGTATAAAACTAATAGCAATAATTCTAAAACAATTCTTAGTTATTGGGGCTCTATCATGGGTCAGTCCTGAGATCTAATTTCAGCTCTAATAACTTAGGTCCTATATGACCTTGAATCAGTTATTTAATCTCACTGAGCCTAATGTCTTCATTTGTAATAAGGGAAATAATAAAAGAGTAAGTATGTTATGGACTGAATGCTTGTGTCCCTTCAAAGGTCATAGGTTGAATTCCTAACCTCAATTGTGACCGCATTTGGAGACAAGGCCATTATAGAGATACTTAAGGTTAAATGAAGTCATAATGATAGGTCCTTGATCCAATAGGATTAGTGTCCTTATAAGAAGAGACATCAGAGAGCTTGCTCACTCTCTCTCTCTCTACCGTGTGATGACATAGCAAGAAGATGACAATCTGCAAGCCCAGAAGAGAGCCCTCACTAGAAACCAACCCTGGTGGACCTTGCTCTGGGATTCTCAGTCTATGGTATTTTGTTATGGCAGCCCAAAGTGATTAATTAATTGATTAAATAATTGATTAAATATGAAAGCTAAATTAGACAATGTAAACTATATATCTAACAGCATTCTGGGACACAAATGAGGCTCCATATATTTATATATGAACTGCAGGCTGCCCTGTACCTGCCCGCCCCTGAACATAGCCTGCCCCAGCCAAGGTCATCCCTAATATGCGAAGTTCAGGCAATTCTCCTATTACCTTGCATGCAAACTTGAGAACTTTCATCTTGCTAGTCTCATGGTAGGAGTGCAAGCCCCAGAAGAACTAATATTCAGCTGGACTGTTGTTGGTGACCCTCTTGTATTCCAGATATCTTGGAGAAGGGAAATGAAACTTGCTTCTAACCAAGGAAACCTGTTGTCTAACCACTAGGCACCAGGTGGCAACCTCCTACAAACAATTAAACAGCCCCTGAGAAAGATTTCCCAGACCCTCCAGCCCCAGACTCAGTCCCAAACAGTTCATGGTCTTGGCCTCCAATACTGGGCCACTTCCCATTGGCCCTGTGCAAAGCAGTCATTTGCAGTGCTGTAGAGGCATATATAGGGCATGATGTCACAGGGAGGCCAAAGTACCATGCTATCTGTGAAGAGTAAACCCAGATTCCTGTTGGGTGTGCTGTAAACAGAGGAACCATTCTTCAGGCCCCCTGCTTTGAGCACACCCCACTGCAAGGGCCAGTTGTTTGATCTGGCCCAGTCCTGGAAAGGTCCATATGTGAATTTTAGACAGGACTCAGTTCTAGGACACAGGATCTCTATTCCTCTAAAGCTAGTGTAAGAAAGGTGCTGACTAAGCACTTTCTGAACCAGACCATCACACCCAGAATATACTTCAGGGCCAGACAAAGCCCCCAAACACCACTTACTTCTTTTTTTTTTTTTTTTTTTTGTGACCAGTAAGGGGATCGTAACCCTTGGCTTGGTGTCACCCGCACCACACTCAGCCAGTGAGCGCATCGGCCATCCCTATATAGGATCCGAACCCGCAGCCTTGGCACTCCCAGCGCTGCTGTGCTCCCAGCGCCGCACTCTCCCGAGTGACCCACAGGGTTGGCCCAACACCACTTACTTCTGTTTCACAAATTTGTCTGTGATGAGCTTCCTCACTTCCCCAAGGAATGAATGCCTCACCCTAACAATGGGAAAAATAACCCATGAACACAGATCAGAACTTCCCAGATGAAGGCAGAGGCATTTTCCAACATGGAAGAGATCTCTTTAGCGCATGGAGCAGTCTCAGTGAAGTGAAGAAAGTAGTGAGCACATGGCCACTAGAAGCAGTGGAGGCCAGATGGCTGTTTGTCAGGGATCGCTGAAGGTCTAACTTACATTTCAGCTCAGAACAGAAGACAGAGGGAACAGAGAGTTCAGAACCATTTCCTCATCCACCCAATTCAGAACCCTGGACCCTCCACCCAGGCCAGCACCCCTCGCCCACTCCACCAGACCACCAGGCTGCTGCAATCCTGGGATTGTCGTCTCATGCCAAAGGATAACACGGACAGCAAGTGCTGAGAGAACCCAATCACACCCAGGGCACAGCCCCAACTTGCACAGCACCTCCCAGATGACAGCTACAAGGGGAGGCAAGAGGAGACAGGGACAGGAAATGGACACATGGAATTGAGACCATGGTCACACATTTGGCTACATGCCCAGCCACGCACCCTCACTGGCCTTGTTGCCATTCATTAAAATGATACTCAGAATCACCATGAGAAGACCTAGCTTGGGTATGTCCTTGGTCCTAAGGGAACAATAGGACAGAGAGAAGGTTTATGTTCAGCGGCCACCTGCAAAAGACACACCAGCCAGCTCGCTAGGCTAGTCTTGCCCAGATTACTCATGCATGGGAGAATTCTGCCCAGTCTATACTTTAAGCTCTGTGTGGCCCCGGGCAAGGCACTTAGACTTGTGAGCCTTGGTCTCCTATTCAATAAAATGGGAAAATCACATCCTACCTTAACCGGGTTGCCAAGAAGCTGGAAGAATGCCTGTTAACCTGGTACAACAGAAGCACCCAGTCAATGTGAGTCCCTTCTTTTGCTCCCAGACCCCTCAGCCCTGAGAGAATTCAAGGCAGAGCCCCAGTGACGCTCCTGGTCAGGCCAGGCTCTCAGTAGGAAGACATAAGCAATGACAGCCCTGCTCTCCTGAGAAGCTTCTGGAGGGACAACAAACCTGACAGTAGGAATGCCCACCCCAGGCTCCTATACCTTTCAGTCAATCATAATGAGGCACTGCTACTGCGCACAGGGCTCCAACTATGTGCAGGAGCTGGGGCGGTGGCTTTGTATGCCCTGTCTTCCCTGACTCTATAAGAGGATGAGAGGAGAGAGGACAGGGAAGAGGTAGTACCATGGACAAAAGCAGAAGCCCCCCTCCCACCGCAGCCCTTTTCCAGCTTACGTTCCCAGTATGCCTGTGGAGCGTTCCTGAGTGCTGATGAGAATATATAAGCTACTTTGTTTATCGATTTCCTTCAGATTGACTCGAAACATCTGTCATGTAAAAGAATAGTCTGTGTGATCACAAAATTCAACTTAGGCATCAGTGAGCTTCCTTTCCTGGACATCCCACAGCTCCCCGTGTACCTATGGGAATACCTGGGGGGTTTGTGTGTGTTAGAAATCAGTGAGATAATGCACATAGAGCACAAAGTTAAGTACCTGGCACACAGGTAAACATGCATCAAATGTACTGTTGTCATCAACATCATCTTTGAGATTAGTGGGAATCTAGGGAGACAGAAAATGGGAATGGAAGGCAGAGGTGAGCATGTGAAATACATGACAGGAGTGTCCAGCAGTGGATGGAAGCTAGGACTAAGTTGGGTGACTTGGGTCCTAGCTGTGCTTCCACCACTGACTTGCTGTGTGACCCATGGCTAGCCTACGCCCCGCCCTAGGTTGTGGTCGGCCCATCTGCACGGTGATGGGGCTGCATTAGCAGGTCTCTGTTGTTCTCCCTGGAAGGGACATGTACACCTTTGTTCGATTTAGGGCTTCCCCACTGCACCCATCCCCCAGGGCTGCCCCTTCACCTTTTCCAGAGCATAGCTTGCTCATTTAATGACCTCTGGGAAATATTCATCATATTCTTGGATGATATCCTTCAGCATGTCTGTAAGAAGGGAGAGGTGGAAGCAGGTGGACTGAGCAGGGGCCACAGAGCTGTAACCCTTTTGCCAGTTCTGTGGTGTCAATGCAATCAGAGTCCCGAACTGGATTAATGGGAGATGCCAGCCATGGCAGAGGGTGAGGAGGGCAGGGGTGAAGATGTGAGAGAACAAGGAGGCCATAAGGCAGGTGAACAGTCACCCCCAGGCCATGGGGGAAGAAGAGAGTGCAGAGGAGAGCTCAAGAAGGGAGGTTGATAAGATACTACCTGAGCGCTTGATGGGGATCTTTGTCTGGTCTTTAACCAATAGGTATTTCACCAACTTATTTGCCTGGGAGAATAGAAATAGATGGGGAGATAGTATGTTTTCAGAAAACTTGGTAGGATGGCAGAGAAGAGGGCAGGCAAAGAAGAGAATGGGAAGAATTGAATTCTTACCCTTTCTTGCAAAATGGCCACATCTTGGGGTGGAAGAGGCCTCCAGCTCCATGGGATCCACTTGTAATTACTTCCATTTCTCTCATCACCATTCAGATGCTTGGACTTCATCATCAGAAAGAAGTAAGGTCCAGAGTCACTAGGTGAAAGAGATGGTTCTGTCTTCTCATCCTGCCTCCTCCAGAAAGCACCCCAATCCCTCCGCTGCAGTGGGGCCTAACCCTGGTATTGACAGCCCTGAATCCTGGGCTTGTCTTTCACTTGTTTTCTAGGCAGGAATGGAGTTTCATTCCCTTGTCAAGACAGGAGAAACCCAAGGGAAGCCACCGCTGATTCGGCTAGCTGTATCCCTTGGACAAGTCACTTCACCTCTCTGGTACTCAGTTTTCTCATCTGTAAAATGGAGATCTATGACCCCTAGTTGGTACAAGTTACTTTCATGACATAAAGACATAACCTGTGTAAATGTACCCAACACAAAGCTTGGCGCACGCTAACTACTATGTAAACACAAGTTGAATTACATACAGGTTGTAGCTAAGTGTATGGATGTCTTATTTCCCAACCAATCTGTGAACTGCCAGGGGCCAAAACTGTACACATTCTTCTCAGCATCTCCCACAGCCTATCTGAGCACGGGGACTGGCTCAAAATAAAAAGGTTCAGTAAACTCTTATAGAAGAAATGAACAAACTAGAAGGATAGAAATGGAAAAGAAGCACAAAGTTAAGGATGGTGGTGTTAGATATCTCACCTTTTGGTTCCTCTTGCCCTGGACCCTGGTTGTGGGCTCCAGACTCAACTGAGCCAGACAGTCATCTGCCAGGGCCTGGACAGCAGCAGCAACCCGAGTCTCAAGGTCACTTATGTGAGTCTGAGAGGTGGCCATCTTGGCCTGAACCCCTTGGTCAGCAATCTGAGTCTGGCTTTCAGTTGCCCAAGCCTTACTGGCAACCTTCCAAGACCCTCTCTTGACCCAAAGGGTGGCTGCTAGGGCTTAGTCTGTGATTATTTGAGTGGCAGGTGGGGCCTCAGAGATCTCAGAGGCAGAATTTGGGCCCTTATTGGCAGCTTTCTTGCCCTTGGATTTTTTGGTCCAGATAGCTGCTGCTGAGATCTCAATCTGCCTGATAGCTGCCTCAGTAGCATTTGAGGCCTCTAGATGCTCATTGTCAGTACTTGCAGCCTTAGCAGCTGTCTTCTTAGCTTCAGAGGCTTTCTTGGTTCAGGTGGAGGCTGCTTTGGCCTGATATTGGCTGTCTCATTGGTAATTTGGCCTTGGGTCGTAGCTGTATAGATGGCAGTTGGCCTTGGGTCATAGCTGTATAGATGGCAGTTGAAGCCAGTGAGATCTTGGTGGCACTAGCTATAACCTCATTAGCAGCCTTCTTAGTGTTAGAAGCTTTTTTAGGCTTGGTGGAGGCTATCAAGACCTGGGAATTGGCTAACTCACTGTCAACTGGAACCTGGATAGTTTGTGAGATGATTGGTAGATTTAAGCCCTGCAAGGGAGACTTGAGCTGTGTAGTGACACCCTCACTACCAGTTGGGGCTGAGAAACAGGCTGCCTTGACAGTAACTCTTTTCACCTTGTTGGCTTTCTTAGGCTGAGCAATGACTGAAAAGGCTTGAGTACTGGCTGCCTCAGTAGTTAGCTGAAGCCTGGCTGATCTGGGTGATGATTGGCAGGTTTAAAGCCTGAAGAGTTATTTTGGACTTGTTGATGGCAATCTCATCAGCAGATGGGACTGGAGGGGCAGCAGGTGCAGCTTTAGTAATAGCCTTAATAGGGGCCTTCTTGGTCTTGCTTTTCTTAGGCTGGTTGACAGTTGGTGGGTCCATGGCCAGGGTGTTCTTGGTTGTCGTCAACAGGGTATGCATCAACAAGACACTATCCTCTTCTGTGGTTTCAGTCTGTACATCTGGACGGAAGGGAAGCTGCAGGCTCCCAGGGAGAGGAAGAGGGCCCTACACACTTAGGATTATGATCCTCTGAGCCATTTGGCCTCCCTACAGCCCACCCCTTTCTACGAAGGCCTCCCCTTCCTCTGAGTGGTGATTGATTGAAGGGGGTCCAGATTGAAGGGGAAGGGAGCAGGAGATAAAATCAGTCAGATTTTCCTCTTCTACCCCTCCACCACACAGGTGAGCACTGACACAGGTTAGGCAGGAAATTATGCAACTACATAGAAATAGGGGGATCAAAAGCAGTAAGTGAACTCAGGACAGGACCTGATGAGAATGCAAAGAGGCCTCACCTGGAATGGGGACATCCTATAACTGTAGTCATTTCTCCTATCCATCTTTCTGGGAGGCCAAGTAACAGCTGAGCCTGAAGGGAATGGGTCTGAGTTAGGGAAGAATGACAGGTTTGGGGAGATTCCTCAGATGTCTCACGTGTCCTGAAGGAGGGGGGATCTCATCTAACCTTGGGCCCTGAACCTTTCAACTCCTGGGTTCTGATACCTAGAAACCCAGGCCATCTGGTTTTCAAGCCCCAGCGTCTTTTGACTCAAGAGGACAAGTTAGTTCTACGACCCCACCTCTTTACACGACCCTACCGCAACTTGATAGTGCTCATTGCACCGACCCAAAGCCCTTTCTCAGGCCCACCGCTTTCCCTAGAGAAACTGTTCAAGACCCTCAGCGCGCATGCGCGTTGGTGGGCAGGACCGTTAACCGGCTCATTCCCACAGGAATGAATGCCCCCTGCTCTCAGAGCAGCAGAACATCTGGGCTCCACTCCTGACCCAATCTTTCTAACGACATCTCATCTCTGTCCAACCCTTCCCCCAACACCGGCCCCCTCCCTCCGCTCTGCAGTATTGCTCCGCACCGCCCCTTCCCCAACACCTCTCCTCTGTGGTACAGCCGTGCACCGCCCTTTTCAGATATGCCCCCTCCCTCCGCTCTGCCGTAAGTCTCTGCACCGCCCCTTCTCCAACACGGTTCCCCCGCCTCATTCCACGTCTGCAAGTGCCCGGCTCCGCCCTTTCTGCAACATGGATACCCCACCCCCAAATCCAACGGTGTTAACCTTGTGTGTATTCCTTGTTCTCAAACTCTACCAGGTCCTAGCTCTTCCCTTTGCAAACCGGAACCAACAGGGCCCCAGCTCCTCCTTTCTCCCGTCAGAGCCTGGTCCTATCAAAAGGGATTCTGCCCCCCTTCTTTCTCTGGGTCCCCATCCCTCTTTTCTGTGGTCCAAACCGGGTCCTGCCCCCTCTCTCCAGCCGGAACAGGGTCCTGCTGTCTCCTCCCTCCTGAACTTGGCCCTCCTCCCTTCTTGCTACCGACTGAATGATTTTTCGATCTTTCCTTTCTCAAGTTTCAAACGGGTCTGCATCCTTCCTTTCTACGTCCCAAACTTGAGCCTAGATCTCTCCTTTCTTTGGCCCAAATGGGGATTCTGCCCCTTCCATTCTCCCGTATGAACCGGGTCCAGGCACCTCTAAACACAACCACTTTGTGGCTAGGTCCCTAATTCCCAGCAGGTTTTCTTCAAACCTTGGGGCCTTGTGGAGTCAGGCACGTCGAAGCTGCAGTCCGGAGGCCCCCACAGGGTCTTCACTAAAGCTAGGTACCTCGACTCACTCACTTGAGTTCAAAAGGCATCCTTCTCTCCAAACCTCTCCTTAGGTTTGAGCCTGTCACCCACTCCACCCCTCCTTGTCCGGAAGTGGTCCTGTCTCTTTCTGCCTCTAGAGGGGTTCTCTGTCCCTGCCAGTCTGCCCCCTCCCACGCTCCCTACTTCCTCTCTTCAATGTAGCTCCTCCTTTTTGCTTACTGCTCCTTATTCAGCAATCTCTCCCTCCTACTCTCCATTTGATTTCTCTATTCTTCACACTGTATCCCCGTTCCTATTTAATTCTCCTGTTCCCCCTAGGAGAAATATGCTTCTCTGAGCTCCCCAACTGTGTGTCTCGGTCTCTCTCCCCAGGAGCTGCTCTGGGGGCAGGGGACTAGGTTGCATTCATTTCTGTCTCCTGTATGACCAAATTAAGACATTTACAGACTAAACACTAGAAGATAGGGTGCCCCCAGATCATATGCAATCCAGAATAAAAATAGTAAATGTAAGAAAGTCTACAAAAGCTTTTTATTTATTCCACAATGACTATATTGATCTTTTAAAAAATATTAACTTATTTCAAAAATATTGGAGCTGTTTTCCTACTTTACTGTGCACTAAGCAAATACTTAGATTATCTCTTGTGACATGGCCCACTGCTCCCCAGTCAGAAAACAACTTACGGCATTGATTTATTCACTCATTCAAAAGAGAGCAGGGGTAACTATACTTATGTCAGATAAAAGAGACTTTAAGTCAAAAACTGTAAAATGAGACAATAAAATAACATTATATAATGATAAAATAGTCAATTCATCAAGAGGCTATAACAATTTTTAAAATATGAGTATGAACCAACATTGAAAGACCTAAATATGCAAAGCAAATATTACTAGATCTGAAGGGAGAGGTAGACTACAATGCAACAATACTAAAGGACTTCAATAATCCACTGTCAACAATGCACATCATCCAGACATAAAATCAATAAGGAAACATGGGACTTGAACTACACTTCAGACCAAATGGAATTAACAGACATACACAGAACAGTCCATCCAATGGTGAACATTCTCCAGGGTAGATCCTAAGTTAGGCAACAAAACAAGTCTTAACAAACTTAAGAAGACTGAAATCATATCAAGCATCTTTTCACTGCAATGATATAAAACAGAAATCGATAACAGGAAGATTTTCAAAAATTCATGAATATGTGGAAATTAAACAACATGCTCCTGAACAACCAATGGGTTGAAAAAAAAACTAAAAAGGAAATTTAAAATATTGGGACAAACAAAAATGGATGCACAATATACCAAAACTTACAGGATGCAGCAAAAGAAGTTCTAAGAGGGAAGTTTATAGCAATAAATGCCTACATCAAAAAGAAGAAAGATTCCAAATAAACAACCCAACATTACACTGAAAGGAACTATAAAAAGAAGAACAAACAAAGGCCAAAGTTAGTATAAGGAAGGAAATAATAAAGATTAGAGCATAAATAAATAAAATAGAGACTAGAAAAACAATAAAAAGGTCAATGAAACTAAGAATTGATGTTTTGAAACTTGAAAACAAAATTTACAACCTTTAGCTAGATCAACTAAAAAAACATGAGAAGACTAAAATAAAATCAAGAATGAAAGAGAAGATATTACAACTGATACCACAGAAATACATAGAATTATAAGAGACTTCTAAGAACAATTATATGGCAAGAAATTGGAAACCTTGAAGAAATGAATAAATTCCTATACACATACAACCTACCAAAACTGAATCATGAAGAAATAGAAAACATGAAGAAATGTATAATGAGGAAGGAGATTGAATCAATAACAAAAAATCTCCCATCAGGGAAAAGCCCAGGACCTGGTGGATTCACTGATGAATTCTACCAAACATTTAAAGAGTTAATACCAACCTTCTTCAAACTCTTCCAGAACATTGAAGATTAGGCAATACGTCCAAACTCATTTTACAAGGCCAGCATTACTCTGATAGTAGAAATGTAAAAGTACAAGAAAGTAAAATTACAGGACAATATCCCTGATAAATATAGATGCAAAAAAACTTCAACAAAATACTAGGAAACTGAATTCAACAGCACATTAGAAGGATCATTGACTGTGATCAAGTGGTAGTTATCCCAGGGATACAAGGATAGTTCAAAATATACAAGTCACTAAAAGTGATACACCACATTAAAAGAAAAAAAGACAAAAACCATTTGATCATCTTAGTAGATGCAGAAAAGGAATTTGACAAAATTCAACAACGTTTAATGATAAAGACTCTCGACAAACTAGGTATACAAGGAATGTACCCCAACACAATAAAGGCCATGTACAACAAGCCCATAGCTAACATCATACTCAAGGGTGAAAAGCTTTTTCTCTAAGAACAGAAACAAGACAAGGATGCCCACTCATACTCCTTTTATTCAACATAGTACTGGAAGTCCTAACCAGAGGAATTAGGTAAGAGGAAGAAATAAAAGGCATCTAAATTCAAAAGGAAGAAGTTGAATTGTCCCTGTTTGCAGATGACATGATCTTATATATAGAAAACCCTATAGAATCCATGTACAAAAAACTGTTAGAACTGATAAACAAATTCAGGAAAGTTGCAGGATATAAAACCAACATAAAAAATCAGTTTGATTTCTATACGTTAACAATGAACTATCCAAAAACAAAAGAAATCAAGAAAAGAATCTCATTTACAACAGCATCAAAAATAAAATAAAATACTTAGAAATAAATTTAACCAAGCAGGTGAAAAATCTGTACACTGAAAACTGTAAAACATTGATAAAAGAAATTGAAGAAGACACAAATGAATGGAAAGCTATCCTATGATTGTAGATTAGAAAAATTAATACCATTTAAATGTCCATACAACCCAAAGTGATGTACATATCAATGCAATACCTATCAGAATTCCAATGACATTTTTTACAGAAATAGAAAAACCAAGTTTAAAATTCATAAGGAACCACAAAAGACCCCAATTTTAAAAATAAACACAAAAGTTAATTGTATCAAGATTAGGTGGAAGGTTATGAGCAGCACCCCACATAGCTGTCAATCCTTGTAAAAATAAATAGAGCAATCACTTAAATTGAACTTCCTGTATATCAGGATGCAGCACCTATGCTTACTAAGACTGCAGCAGAGGACACAGAAAAGTACAGAGTGTAAGAGTGTATTGGGTACTTTTAGGGATCCTCAAAAAAGGCTCTATCAGGAAGAAATAAGCTGAGTCTCAGACTGGCCAGAATGAAAGTCAGTAAGCATGTAATTATGAAAATGCAAATTACCATGAGGTACCACTTTTACCTATAAAAATAGCAAAAACTGAGGCTGGTCTGTTAGCTCAGTTGGCTAGAGCATTGTCTTGTAACAACAAGTTCACGGGGTTGATTCCCTGCACCAACCAGCCACCAAAAAAAAAAAAAAAAAGTAAAGGAAATATGTTCTAACATAGCAATAATTAAAAATATATAAATGAGATAAATTCACAATTTAAAAAAATTTTTAAAATTAATAATATGTCTAAAAGAAACAAAACTTAAAATAATACATGAAAACTGGAAAAATGCTTTTGGTTCCTTTTTCGAGCATTGTCTTGTAACAACAAATTCCCGGGTTTGATTCCCCGCCCCAACCAGCCCCCAAAAAAAAAAAAAAAAAAGTAAGTAAAAATAAAAAAACCCTAACTAGAAAAAAAAAAAAAAGATTAATAGTACACAGTGTTGGGGAGAGTATCAGAATATAGGCATTCTCACTCAGTATTTGTGGAGGTATACATTTGTCCAACTACATTTTCTAGTAAAACTTAGGAGATATATAACCTAGAATCTAAAATTTTCACTACCAGATAGTATCCCATAGAAAAGTGTCTAAGGATCCATGAAACAAAAATGTTTATTTCAGCAGTGTTTGTAGTAGAACAAAAGTTGAAAGCTATCCAAAATAAAAAGAGAAACAGGCAATTTGGCAAGTAAATTGTAGCATATTCATTCAATGGGATACTATACAACAATTAAAATATGTATCAAAATGAATATTTACCTACTGATATTTTCAGTATGATATCATTTGTATAAAGTTTGAAAACATGCAAAACTATGCTATACATTATTAATGGATACATACACATATCTTAATAGTATAAAATATGCACAGGGAGGGAAGAAGAAATGGGATTTGAAAGGGGGTAACACAAGTATCTTCAACTCCATCTGAAGTATTCTATGTATTTTAAAAATATATAAATCAAGCAGAGCTTGGTAGTAATAAGCTGCTAGAAACTGGTAGTGATCTTTCTCATTAGTTGGTGTCCATGCAATACAGGTTGTTAAATATTTTGATTATCACCTCTAAAAACAGGCCTTATAAAATATAAAATATTATGATTTGATAGATATGGATAGTGCGTTCACAAGTGTTTGTAATGTTATAATCTGTACATTAATGCATCATAAATATTTCACAATAAAATGACTGGAGTACATGAAGACACATATTACATTTATGGATAGGATAATCTAACACTATGAAAACGTCAATATGTCTCAAATTTATCTATACATTCAATACCACCCCAGCTAAAATCCCAGCAAGAATATTTTGAGGGCACAACTAGACAAACTAATTCTAGTATATCATATAGCAACATGGAGAGTTATCAGCATAATGTTGAATAAAGAAGTAAGAAATAGTTTGATATGATCCCACTTGTTTATTTTTTTCTTTTGTTTGCTGTGCTTTTGGGGTCTTATAAAGTTTTGCCCAGTCCTACATCCTAAAGTGTTTCTCCTGTATTTTCTTCTAGGAGTTTTATAGTTTCCCATCTTATATTTTAAGTCTTTAATCTGTTTTGAGTTAATTTTGGCATATGGCAAGAGGTATGGGTCTAGTTTCATTCTTCTATACATGTATACCCAGTTTTCCCAGCACCATTTATTGAAGATGCTATCCTTCTCAATGTAT